CTTAGTTAAGTGCGTGTCATCTTAACTCAAGCGTTACAGCTCACACGACCTTTGTCCTCGTTGCAGTGTTCTCTGCACATATTTCTTTCAATTAGCTAAAGAAAAACCAGCTGGTCAAAGTTTAGAACAGGCATATAAATGATTTGTCCAATAAGAGTTGGTCGTAGTTGAGATGTAACATTAGTAGTCTGTGACAACATTTGCCGACGGGGATTCTTATCCTACACGTGTTTAATCCTTGCTTATCATGTGAAGTTGTCAAAACAGTTAAATAGAAGCGATGAGGGTTTGTCTCACTTAGTTAAGTGCGTGTCATCTTAACTCAAGCGTTGCAGTTCATACGACTCTTGTCCTCGTTGCAGTGTTCTCTGCATATATTTTTTTCAATAAGCTAAAGAAAAACCAGCCGGTCATTGTTTAAAGACAGGTATGTAAAAGTTTTGCCCAATAAGATTAGGTGGTAGTTGAGATTTAACAAGTATTACTGAAAATATTTGCCGACGGGGATCTTGAGAACAATGCCATTTTTATTTTTAACTTGTCGTGTTGTCGTTATACTAATTAACTTTTTTTTAGACTGAATGGCAACAAAGTCATGATAAGTGAAAGAGGGTTCGAATCAATATTGTAAACTTTATGAAAGACTTGAAATCAACATGTGGAGAGAGAAGCAAGTTTAACCCTTTACACCTGAACATCAGTATGTGTATTCTCCATACTGTTCTCTAAAATGGTAGTTGAGATTTAACAAGTATTACTGAATTTAATTACTGATTTAACAAGTATTACTGAAAATATTTGCCGACGGGGATCTTGAGAACAATGGTGCCATTTTTATTTTTAACTTGTCGTGTTGTTGTTATACTAATTAACTTTTTTTTAGACTGAATGGCAACAAAGTCATGATAAGTGAAAGAGGGTTCGAATCAATATTGTAAACTTTATGAAAGACTTGAAATCAACATGTGGAGAGAGAAGCAAGTTTAACCCTTTACACCCGAACATCAGTATGTGTATTCTCCATACTGTTCTCTAAAACATTTCCTAAGGTACTGACAAGGAGAATTTGTCTAACAATCAAGAGCCTCTTTAGTTGGTGATCACTTCCTTTATTCTCATGACCTTAATGTTTGATTCAGGGGTGATACCGTAAGGAGAACTTTGATGCTAGTCACTCTTAGGGGTTTGATTCAGATCTAATACTGTCAGGACAAATTAGTTATTATGAAAGATTAAAAAATTTAAATGAACCCTTTTGCCCGCTAACATCAGTATCCATATTCTTCATACTATCCACTGTACATTTCCTGAGGTGCTGACAAAGAGAATTTGTTTGATAATCAAGAGATGCTTTACTTGGGGATCATGTCCTCTATTCTCATTACCTTACTGTCTGATTCAAGGGTGATATTATAAGGAGAAATTAGAAACTAGTCAATCTTACAGGTTTAAGGGTTAACCTCGACAATCAGTGGTAAATCCACTCTATTTCCTCAAGCTTTATCCATTATCATGCTTACTTAGAAAATATAATTTTGGTAGTGGTGTTTTTGATTTTTCTCTTTTTCTGCACTAATGCAGTAGTGTTTTTTTAATGTTTGGGCATAATTAGACCTTAAGGGATAGATGTAAGGTAACAAAGGAAAAGCTTCATGTAGAGTCACTGTGAGCTGAAAATTACTTCTTAAAAGGGAGAGACATACAAACATATTTAGCTTTTAACTACATATATAGTTATAAGCAGCCCCACTGCCAATTTGAGTATGAGTTTACAAAATCTGAAAGCTTAAACATATGGTAAAAAATTTTAAACATTGTGTGTGGTGTGATAGTGTTCATAATGTAGTCTGATTGTCTGGATGAGTGCAGTACTGAGAGCTGAAGTCATCATCACTGTATGTGAAGCATGTACTTTTCTACTGTTGAACTGAGTACAACTGCCTCACCATGTGTCAATTCATTTTTATTACTTCTGATCATTCTCAAAACAGGGTCAGTCATGCTTTTGAGAGCAAGTCTTAGGCAACCTCTTTGTCATTTTATCTGGAAGAGAACAAAGGTTAGTGATTACTTGATAAATGATAAATATTTCCCTTGTGTGATCAAAGTTTTATTTCACTTAAAATGTTTCCCCTACAGTCATGTGGTCTTTGACTGTTTAGAAAATTGCTGCTTAGCTGTGAAAGGGCTGTTTTTGTTGTGGGTTAGGTCAAGGTTTGGTGCACCAGACTAAATTTAAAAGAAAGGAAGATTCAACTTGTTGAATGATATTTACAGTTGGGAAGATGTTTTAGTCCTCGCAGATATCAATGATAACATGTAGGGCAGCTGTCTCTTGTGGTTTAAATGTGAGGTTAGCAGGGGATGTTGTAAACCCTTTCATTTATGGTTGAGATTAAGCAGCCACATGTTCCCAACTTTGGACTGGCTCAGTTGTTTCTCAGTGTTCCAAAAAGTCCCCACTTCCTCAAATTCCAACTTGCATTAATTTGAATCATAAGAAGGCAGTCAGAAATAATGTTTTGGTCACAGGAGGTTTTGGGGAGTGCAAGAAGAGATTGCATCTATACATTTGAAAGCTCTATCATAATAATTATGAGAACTTAAAAGTTCCTTTTTTTTCTTATGCCTATTTAAGTTCTTAACACCCATGAAATTCTTAGGCAAAAAGTAATCATTGCCCATGACATTAATTTGGTTTACAGATCACATCCAGTGTAAATTACATTAAAGCTCTGGTGTCTGAAGATTGTTTAGAAATAGAATGGAATGATGGACATAAATCTAGGCAAGTAGACAAGTTGATTGTGTTATTATGGCTTCAGTTCATGAGCACAGGTACACTATAGCTCTGATTAATATACAGTGGTGTAGTTGGGGGGTCAGGAGGTGCTTCTGAATCTACTTGGCATAAATCTTATCTTGCATTTTCATGTAATTCTCCCTGCATGAATATGAGCCTGCTGATAAATTAGGACAGTGGTATATGCCCCTTCATGTAAGGCATGCAGAAATCCTCAGATGTGACCTCCCATTGAAAAATCCTGTAGCTACATGTATGCCTCTGTTAACCCTTCACTTGTAAGAGAAAGAAGCGTCTACATGTAATTCCTCTTTAAGAATTTCACCCCTGAATCATATATTCAGATCACAAGATTAATGGAAATGATTATCTACTAACTTCCTTAAAGGAAGCTCTTGATTGTCTAAAAAACAAATTCTTCTCGCTAGCATCTTAGGAAACTGATAGAGTACAGTTTTCAAAATGAGGATATGAATGTTGGGATGTAAAGGGTTAATAATGGTGATTCACATTAAATTCGATCTAAAGTAATGAGTTTTTTAAGCAGCAAATTAACCACACTTTCTATTGCTTTACAAGCGTAAAAAAGCATACAGGATGTTGGGAGAGCACAAGGAAAGTTTGTAAACCATGAGCCAGTGGTCAAATTAAAACAGAATTTGTTTCAATTGCTTTTAAAATTATTTCACGTTTTCTTTAAGCTCATTAATGGCTTGTGTTCAAACATAATAATTGTGAGCCATTATCTAAAGCTAATTTTTTGACTTGTTTTGGTATGTTTACTTTAATCAGGTTTCATAACAGCTGGTTAAGGTTTTCTTGCCAGTGTGAACACTGCAAGCAGTCACACAGTGGCCAGAGGACCATTGACACCCTTTCCATTCCAGAACCACTTGAAATCTCAGATTTTTCACTTTCCAGTAAGTTCTTGAAGATGTACATGAATCATTAGGGAAAACTTTTTCTAATTGCAGTAAACAGGCAACAGATAAAAGTTGCCCTTTTTTATAGTTTTGATCTAAGATGCATGTGCATGGTATTAAAAATATAAGCTGTACATGTATGCTTAATTTTGTTATTTTTTGTCTGTTTCCCTTATTCCATATCGTAACTGCTTGTCAATTGGTCTGTCAATATGTTTTTCCTTTCAACCTACTTGATTAACTGAAGAAATAGTATTAGTCATGATAAGTGATGATAACAAGTTCTCAGTTTTCCTGACTTTCATTACATTTCCATGTTTTTGGTTGGACATACTGTGCACTGATGAAAAACAATAGTAGTCATACTTAACCCTTTAACTCCCAGAAGTAATTCACGTGTAACTTCTCCCTAATATATCCATACATTATCCAGCAAACAGGTAATGAGAAACCTCAAACACATCAGGCAGATTTTGTTATTTTGATCTAACATTCAATTCTCATTAACTAATTTACAAGGAAATGTGTAGCAGCTAGAGGGGAGAATTATCAATCAGATCTTGGGACAAATTATGGAAAAACTAAGAAACAAAGCATGCTTTCATTGGTTGATAGATGTGTTTAGATGAGACAAGTTAACCTTTACACCTTAACATCAGTATGCATATTCTCCGTACTGTTCTCTATACAATTGCTAAGGTGCCTACAGGTAGAATTTGTCTGACGGTGAGGAGCCTCTTGAGTCTGTGATCATTTCCTTTATTCTTATTAAATATTCCTTTATTTGGGAGAAACAAGATACTTATCACTATTTGGTAGAAAAGGGTTTAACACAGCTAAAACATCTCAGCTTCACATCAAATATTTTTTAAGAGGGGTTGAATGTAAAATCATAAGGGGACTTTATTCATGTTTGTGTTTCTGGTTTGCATAACTGTATCATTCTCCCAAAACCTCTCATGTCAGGATGAGTCTATGAAAGCAAGGAAAAGATCGTGCATTGAAATTACATATTTTGGGCACTGATGTAAGTCCCTGTTAATACTAGCCTAGTACTGAAAGGGCCACCCTGCCTAAATAAGACCTGCTCAACCTTTTTTTGTATGTTAAATTAAATTTATCAGCATTCTTTTCTATATTTTGCAGAAAATAAGGAAAATCTTGAAGTGAAATGGGAGAATGAAAGAGACCACCAAGGTGTACTCAACTTACAGTGGCTGAGAGAAAATTGTTACTCTGAAGTGGCCAGAAAATTAGACAACAAAAGGCGAATAACTCAACCCCATATTGGCGAGGTACTTCCGTGTGAGCCTTAATTGCCTGCATTTGTTACAGTTCATCCTACTGTACTCCTCAATCTTACATTCATGTTTCACTCTCTCTTACAGCACAGTTTGCCAGAGGTTGAATATAGTACCATTATGGAATCCAGGGAAGGTCTTTGGAAGTAAGTTCCGCACATGAATGTATTGCTCGGCTCAAAAAAGCTTTCAACAAGAAAAGCTACCGGTACTTATTTTTGACAAGTATTAGGTCTATGAGCTGCAGCTGAGGAAAAACTGACGAACATGTAGGAATACTTTGTCTGTAGAAAATAAATGCCCAATGTTTGTGAGACCTCCCTCATCGTAGAGTGCCTGTGGCTTAGTGGTAGAGCATCGGAGCGCGGAATACGAAGGTCTGAGGTTCGATTCCTCATGAAAACTCAGAATTTTTTCTTTGTCCCACGCTCGTGACAAGACAAAGAACATCTTTCTCTAAATGCTTAATGTCTTTGAGACTAATATTTTTTTTTACCTTTTCTTTCTGTGAGACTTTTATGATTAGGAAGTTTGGTCGTGTATATTTAAACTCAGGGTTTATCCTCGTCCTTTCAACAGAATGCTGTCTCAGCTAAGTGACCATGGTGTTTCGTTAGTTAAAAATGTTCCTCATGACGATGAGGAAAATGTGTTGAAGGTTTGTGTGCCATTTGATCTTTTGTATTTCATTACTGAGACTGCAAGTAGTCCCTCCTTTTCGACGAAGTCCGTCGCGAGAGTTAAAAAAAAATCAGTGAAAAAAGAGATCTGATGTAAGCGTGCCGCGCGGAACTCTGGCATGCGCAGTGAGGCGCACGAAAAGTAATTTTGTTTTCCTCACTCCCAGAGCTCCGTGCAACGCGCTAAAATAAATTTCTTCTACACTGATTTTTTAGTTTATTTATTAACTACTGATGATCCGATTCTTCTCTGACATTTCAGGTTGGAAGACTAATTGGACCGATACAAGAGACCATTTATGGAAAAGTAGGTTAACAAAGAGACTTGGTGGCTGACCATAAACATAGACTGACATTTTCATGAAGAAGAAAAAAACAGAATTAAGTTAAATAGTAATGATCACTATTTTCACGTCCAGTTCCAATGTGTATCGCTGTTTTTCGACTGTACACCGATAGTCTTCTTTTGGAGATAAAGTCGACTGAATATGCATCAGTGCTGATTGGCTGATATTCAACAGCTGTGTTGGCTAGTATTCAACAGCTGTGATTGGCTAGTATTCGACAGCTGTGATTGGATGGTATTTGACAGCTGTAATTGACTCATTTCGAAGATGTATTTTAAGAGCGGTCCGCTGTCGCTCGGCTCTCCTGTTGTTGTTTTTCACCATTGGTATCCATGCTTCTTAAATTTCAATTCCACTGTCACCCTTGAAGTTGGTGGAGATTATAGAGCGCTTCTTTCACCCTGCTTGTTTGTACTTCGTTTGGAGAAGGCGGTCTCCAGTGTCGAAGAGGCGGAGGTCTGTGTCTTCGAGAGTCAGATGTCTCTATTGTGCTTTTAATCCTCCCTTGTGTTGGTCTTCTAGTCTCGCTGATTTGAACTTTACCTGCTCACTGGGAATCTTGAAAACTACGCTATTTTGCTCAGATATGCTTTCATTTATTCACGTATTCAATGAGATGTGTCATTTTTTTTGTACTCTATTGTCGCAGATGTTTGACGTGGTTTCCACCCCAAATCCAATCAATATTGCATATTCCAGTGTAGGCCTTAGTTACCACATAGATCTTGCTTATTACGAGTCTCCACCTGGACTACAGCTTTTGCACTGCCTCAGGTAAGACAAGATGTAATGACAGGTCTATTGGCACGCATTGTGGGCACTCGATTTGACCGAGCGTGAGTGATTGAGACCATGACCGAAACGCGCAAGCTAGAAATCACGCGTCCCAGAGTCTCTTGCGCGCTTGTTACTTGCTTTCGTGCCAAGCGCCTTCACTGTTGTTTCGTTTGGATTAAAAGCAGTACACGGTTTTCCGTGATGTGCATTTTTTTTTTAGGAAGCTATCTATGAATTATTTTAAACTTAACAGACAGCTCGGTAATGTGTAGATTGTGAGTTTGTCAGGTGCATAGTTGTTCTGCTTCTTTTTTTTTTTTATTTGCGCAGGTTTGATTCTGATATCGAAGGTGGGGAAAGTTTATTTCTAGATGCCTTTTACGTTGCTGAGGAATTCAGGAAACAATTTCCTAAAGAATTTGATGATCTTGTGAGAATTCCAGGAACATTTCAGAAGATACATTTTGAAAGGTATCACCGCTTTAATATAGAACGCTTGTGTGTAACAGTCCCAGCGGTAAATGATGAACTGTTACGATTCGGTTGCCACAAGAATAGACGATATGCTTAATTTTTATTGAGTGTGCTCAAACTTATACGATTATATTACAACGGCCGATAAGATCACTGGAAAATACCACAAGGAGTTAATAAGGACTTTTGAAGTGAAGAGTGGTGCTGGGTTCGATTCCCAGACCTTCCAGAGATACGTATACAGTACAGGTCAGCCGTACGTTAGCGATTTTATACACTGATGATTCACCAATTTGAAGTAAAGAACAAAATTACTATCAAAATTAAAGATAGTTCTAGAGTACTTTTGCCATGCCTTCTCTACTACACATTGTAGGTGGTGGGTCAATGAGGCAAGCACTTCTTTCTCTGTTAAAAACGGCGCTTCAAAATGATTGGTTTTTCTCTTGCGTCCTCGTGTTAGCCGACCCTAAAATGTAACGTTATTTTCCCCCAAACACATTGCCTTGAAAAGATGCTTCCTCATGGCAAATACTTGTGGGAAACATTGAATTAATTGTTCGTCGATGATTTGTAAGGAATGATTTGCATCCATTTGTTTTTATTTCTATGTTTGGTTTTGGTGTTTTCTTATCAAGGGATTATCCAGTCAAGTTAGTTTACAAGAGACCGCACATTGTTCTCAGTCCAGATAAAGAGGTATCGTACTTGTTGTAATCCAACTTGAAATTTTACCCTTGTAGATAACGCTGGAATGGGTTGTTTGTTTTTAAATAAACAAAGTGAGCACTTTTACTCCAACGTTTTCATTTTCTAGATTGTGGCCGTAACTTGGGCGCCACCTTTTGAGGGTCCCTTGTCAGTTCCGGAGGTAAGAATCAGCGGCTTGATTATTCTGATTTTTATAATTATTACAATTATTTAGAAATGATTGACTTTTCGAATGAAATGATTGACTTTTCGACGCATGTCGTGGGAATGAGACTTGATAATAACACCGGCTATTGAATTCCTATTGGTTCGTTGTTACAGGAAGATGTTGAGCCGTATTATAGAGCTTATAGATTATTTTCAAAGTTGATGGAAGAATCTCCTTTACAGGTAAATGCATTTTAAAGTAAATCAGCACTAAAAGCAGCGTTAAAAACATCCGTTTGCGATTGCGCGATTCTAGATTGCATGGGTAAAATTTCTTTCAATAGCATGACTCTCACATGTGATAGCTGGGTTACTGAGGTGGCGATAGACCTCTGTTCGTTGTTATTGTTGTTGATTTTTCGCTAGGAGCAATTTTAGGGGAAACAGTGGATTAAAAGTTTGTCTGTTTTTCTTGTAGAAATCGGTGAGGTTGCATCAAGGAGACTTAGTATGTTTCAACAATCGGCGTATTCTTCACGGAAGAAACTCTTTCAATTTAAATGGCGGTGTTAGGCACTTTAAGGTATGAATCGTGGAAAACAGTGCTCTTAGTTTCAAGCGCGTAGACCGTGTGACCCCTTACACCCTAAATCGGTATTTATCTTCTCCACACTGTTCTATACATTTCCTTTGAAGCTGAAAAGGAGAATTTGTGGAACAGTCAGGAGCTTATCTCAATGTGTGATTCAGCAATGATGATGTAAGGAGAAATTGGATATTTGTCTCTCACAGGGATTGAGGGGTTAAAGATCTTGCCTATCCCCTCCCCTGTAACTTTCCTAATAAGCTTTCCTGGTCTGTCCCGGAAGAATAAAAAATATGCGTGCTCATGGAAGTATATACTTTCGTTATTATATTCAGACACATGGTTTTTTAAGGGAGAGCGATAAGGTTGGTCTCCTAGAGGAAAATCGTAGGCCATTGTAATACACAGCCTTAAGTAGGAGAATTCTGGGACTTTTCTAAAACGGAAATGCATTTTTTATTCTTGTGAATCCAGGGTGCCTATGTCAACATCGACGAGTTTAGAAATGCATTTCAAGTGACATCAGAGCTGGTCGGATCTGGAGAGCCCTGCAGGAGATCTGGAAACCATTGCTTCCTTTAGGAAAGCACAAGAATTAAATAGGCCTTTTGATTGCTACTTTTATCTTCATTTCTGTGACATTGTAATTCCGAAATATTTGGAAGAATAGGGAAATTTTTTACATGCGGGAGCTGGCTCGCTTGTTTTTTAGAGATCATCACATATTTAATAGTTATATTAATGAGAAAGATGAAAAGGGTGGCTAGGATAATGAGTCTTAGTACACCGCATAGCACTGGTATGATATTGATGTAAATTATTAACTTATATGAATTGTCTTAGTCATTTTGCACCACTGTGCCAACAAGGGTCACCGTGATTAATACACCATTGGTAAAACTAGATTTGTTACAAGTTGTTGAGAATTTAACCATGTGGAATTTAAAATATATGGCTCTTTGACCAGCACTGCAGCTGTCAATACCCAATCTTAAGCCATGGGAATTACAGATTTAGACGAATTTCCTTATCTTCATCCAGGAAATAGGGTACATTTTGTAACGAGAGATGACTGTGATGAAGCATATGCAGCACAGCGATCATACATCGGGCATGCGCAAGGGGATCAATTAAGTCAGCGGCGTGCCAATTTCCCGCATGAGAAACAATCGTTTTCACGCTAATTATGCGAAACGACTAAAAAAGCATTGACACGTTTAGGTAAATCTGTAAAAGTAAATAAAGTAGAGAAAGAGAAAACTCGAGACTTTTCCAACAGAAAGCCTATTTGATTACGGGTTTCCAGCTGAATTACCGTTTATTTTTAGCTTTACCGAAAAGTTGAAGGTTTTCAGACACTGCAACTCTCTCGTGTGGTTGTTTATAAGACAACTTGGTTTTATACCCTGAAAGCACATTACCTAGCCTCTAAAATATCCTCACATGCTCAGGCATTTGACCGCTGTGTTAGCTTATGCAGGGATATGTAATACATAACAAATTGAAGCCTCCAAGATAAGTGATTGTTTAATGCGTCAAGTGAAGAAACTTAAAGGATATTTATCAAAGAACAAACTGAAATTGTTTGTTACCTGCGATTTTTCAGGGTATAAATGCAAGGCTGGAGTAATATACCGATGTTTTTTTTTTTGGTTTATATTGTCCGAGATTTTTCGGTTTAAAAAAGAGTACGAATTTTTAATTGAAATAAAGAGGGTCTAATCACCGGTGATGTGTAAGACGCGAGAAAGTGTTCGAAGTGACTAGTCATCATTTATCGCGGGGGGGGGGGGGTGTCAAGGAGGACTTTTCTTGGGAGGGGGGTCGCTTGGTTTTTGGTGAGAAGAGAAGGAGGATAAGCTGTCGCCAACGGAGTATGAAGGTGGGAGTGTAGAAAATTGACTGCCAATTAACTTCCAGTGAGGGTGGGGGATGGTAAGAATATTGCAGAGCCTTATCAGGGATTAGGTAAATTTATCAAATTTATCGTGACACAACCAAAATCCTGCAAACTTTCCACCCCCCCCCCCTCCCCCGGCGATAACTTACCGACCGGTCCCTTAGCGATCAAGTATTGGATTCATTCCTGTTTCGCTGAGTTTTCAACAAGAGGATTTCTGCAAACGATGAATATTCTTTAAAAAATTCCCATTTCCTATCTGTCAGATGTTGACAAGGGACTCAATTTCACACAAACGCGTTTGCTTGTTACCTTTTAGCTTGAAATCTTTTGTCAGTCTAAACACTCCGTTTATGATAGTGTCACTGCGGCGAGTGTCCTAAAGAGGTTTTAGAACACACTGATTGATACTCTAAATATTTTAAACAGCTAAAATCTGGCAAATGATTCTGTCTCGATTAGCGATCGGTCCACGTTTTAATAAGAAACTCTTCTTGGAAAATGGTTGGTGTTCTTTTATATTTGAGTTTAGAGAGCTTAAACTCTTCAAACCTGTATGAAAATTTCAGGGCCAAACTACAGGATTTTATTTAGTGTCACCGGCGATAACAGTATAAGACTACGAGCAGTTCCTCCTTTTCGGCGAAGTCCGTGGCGCAGGTCGAAAAAAAAAACATTGAAGAAAAATAAATGTTAGTGCCTCATCTCAAGAGCTCCCGGCGGCGCGCTAACATCTTTTTTTTTTCTTTTTTTTCACCCGAGAAAGAAAGAGTACTTTTCACTAATTTCAGAAAGCTGCATGTCTAATGGATGTCTTTAAATAAACTATGGCGAATCTCTGAATAAACATATGTCAAAATTGAAATGTTCTCCAAACCCCTCTCCAAATTTTTCTCTCTCTTTTTTTTTTTTAAGTATTTCCAGAAAGCAATGTGGTTTTATCTATTCACTACCAAAGATAGTTTAATGGGCAAAGTTTGAGGCAAAACTCTTTTCCGATGAGAAATGCCTTGGACCGTTCTTACAGATATCGCCTCTTAAAGGGTTTATCTTTCATTCAAAGTGCAAAGAATACAGGTGTCTGAATGTACACGTGCTTTCCTGTTTACCAAAAAGTAACAGCTTTTCGTTGGTTGCGATAAAACTGCGTTAAAACTGCCCCTTAAAATTTCATGGCGTCTTCAAGTTATCCCCTAACAGGTATAAAATCAGCTCTACCTTGTCTGGCCGCTGACATGAAAAAATTTAGTTGTGCTTTAAGAACGTCGTTTTACCCCTTAGACCCAGATATCAGTTTGCATATTATCCATACTGTTCTCTGTACATCTTCTAAAGTGCCAACAAAGAGAATTTGTCTTGCAATCAAGAGCTTCTTCACTTGGTGATCATTCCCTTTATTCTCATTTCCTCAATCTGTGATTAATGTGTGATATTTTAAGGAGAAGTTAGATGCTTGTTATTCTTCGGGATTACTGGAGGGATTAACGTTGTTTTATCTTGTTGGCAACACCTAAACCAGGGATTAGTAGGAAACAATTGTTTACTCAGACTTCGACTCATTAACCGGCCTTTTAAAATAGTTTTTGTTTTCTTCTGTTTTTCTTTTCGTTACCGTTTGATCATCTTGAGACAGTGTAGGCCCCTTCGATTGTTATTCCTATTTCCTGCTTGTAATAGTTGTTTGAATATGATCCAGCTGTGGTCAATTAGAATTTTCATTTATAACTTGGGACCTGCCCCTGAATCAATCGTGTATTTCCCAGTTGTTTTACGTAATCCGCCGAATTAGAAGACGCGCTTATTAACTTTGCGTAAGCGAAATATGGCACTGGACAAAATCAAGCTGGCGAATAAAATCGAGGAATACATTAAAAAGAAACAAAAATAATTTAACACCAGGAATATTTTAAAAAGAAACAAAAACAATTTAACACCATCACCGATGATCCTAAAGCACCAAATATGTACATCGCAGGCGTGATAAACCAGGTTGTTATTCTGATACTATGTTTCCAATACTATGTCATTTGACTTCTGCGTTAAAGTCACGCGCTAAATGATATTATGCAGCGCCGTAATACAATGTGGAACAGGGCAAAAGGCGAAACAACTAAATGGCCGCACTGAAATATCCAAACTTTAATTTTTCTCCCGTTATTAAATAAGGTCTATGTAGGATATTATAAGTCAGTCCACGCGAATGCCTTCTTATTTTCGCTAATGATTCTTATCTTTTGTTTTTGCTTTACTCGTACACTTGACCTTAAGCAGTCAGGACGGCAGCGCCAAGGAAGACTTCGATTAAAAAATGAATTTCTGCCTTTATTTAGAATTTCAAAAATGGCTGCATGTATTTTCTGTCTCATACAGCGTCATAACGTATAAAAGAAGTTTTGCGTTCCAAATGGAAATTAAAATTATTTGCCGTCGACGTTTCGGTTCGCAGACGACGCAAATTGTAGTGATTTCACGTTGTTGTTTTGCATAGGACGGCTAAGAAATGTACAAAGTTTTAAAACGCACGTGCCGAGCTATTTTTCTGCCAATTAGATCTTTTGGTTTTTCCATGTCCTCGTCGCCGTCGTCGTTGTGGTTTTCTTTAGGTTCCTAATGTACCGTAAATACAAAAGAATCCTTGGCGTGGGAACTAATCTGGTGTGTAACAGCGTTTTCCTCATTAATTGCCTTTCCTTGAGGAGGACATTCACAAAAACATTTTCATAGCTTTTTAAGAGATAACACTGGAAAACAATCAGCTTTTCTGACTGAGTTGAAACTAAGCAGCTTGGTGATATTACCCACGAGTACAGAATTAACGACACATTCAACTTCAAACCAGCTACGTGGCCGGTTATAATTCACCACTGAACTGAGAGAAGACCAAAACTCCTAGCCAAGAAGGTGTAATGTACTCGAGCATCGCGACCTCACAAAATGGATCAGCAAAACTAGCAGATGAATGCGATATGTCGCACGTTCTGGAAGGAAATCCACATCCAGAAAACTCGACAGCATTCACCGCCATTGCGTTACTGACCGTTATAGCCATTGCGTCTTGTCCCTTCACCCTTTTGTTGAATGCATTGGTAATCGTGGCAGTGAATACCAAACCTAGACTCAAAACGTCCTCTAATATACTTGTCGGCTGCTTAGCGGTTACTGATGTCTTTGTGGGATTGTTCGCCCAACCCATGTACATAGCTTGCAGAACACTAAACTTACATGGGGATACTTCAGACGAGTATTGCACACTACTTCGGTTGACAAGAAACATCATCAGACTTTTAGCTGCCTCATCAATCCACCACGTATTCATCATGAGTTTTGAGCGATATTACGCCATAAAAAATGTTTTAACCTACACGGCCATGCGAAATAAAACTCGCAAACTTCTTGGTTCATCCGCCCTGGCCTGGATAGCAGCAATAGTAGGAGCTGTTCTACAAGCGTTTAGCATCAAAGTCTTCATCACTTTTACAAGCATTTCATTAATCGTAATTTTGGCTGTAATTATCTTTTGCCAGGTTGGAGTGTACTCAGAGACCCGCCGGCATGAAAAGTGCATCGCCGCTCAGCAAGTCTCCCTGGAGGCCAGAAAGAAATTCTCCAAAGAGAAGAAAGCCCTAAAGTCAACAAGCTGCGTAATAGCATTTCTTCTTTTAACTTTTTTGCCATTATTTTTCGTGCGAATACTTATGTTTACCTCTGCCATTACTAGTGTAAATGTATCTAATTTTAGCTTTAATGCCATAACCCTTGTAACAATTCTTAATTCCCTAATTAATCCTATTATTTACTGTGTCAGGCTGAGGCAGTTTCGCGTTGCGTTTGTGCAAATTTTGCTAAGGAAAAACCACCCACAAGCTGAACAGTTTGAAATGCGTACGGTACGGTTTGTATCAAAGAACTGTACTGTATAGCCTGAAGCCGGACATCAAATGGAAAATACAAGAAACAGTCAGGGAAAACAAGAAATTGATACTGGATTTCAGACATTAGGCTAAGATCTGTCCCTCCTTTTTCATGTGAGCGCGTTGCAGTGAACTCTGGGAGTGTAGCGCTCGAAGAGTGGTTTCAAGAATTAATCTAAGAGTTGTGAAGTTCGTCGAAGTATGAAGTCTAAGTAAATGCCTTTTTTAAGCTTGTTTGCTGGAGTTTTCGTTTCGATTAATTTTTCGCCTAACTGCCAGAGTTCCGCTCGGCGCGGAAACGATCGATCTCAATATCATATAGTGTTGTATTTTTCTTCCGTGAATTCGCCTTTCTAAATCATTGCAAAATCTGTCCGTTTTTTGCTAATTTTTGGCTCGCTCAACGGCTTTCGCCGATTAGGAGGGACTGTTCGTAGTCTAATAGACATTATATCGTCCTCCTTCGTGTAATCATCTATCGTTTAAATCTATTCGCTTTTTCGAGTCTAGTCTCATATTTCCTGCATTTGCAGTCGCTGTAATCGTTAGGATATTTTCCAGCAGCGTTATAATCTCGTACCCAGATCCTGCCATGTAACCCATCGCTTGGCCGTGGAAAGTCGGGGTACGAAACTAGAGGTTTACCTCTTCTTCAATTTTTCTTACTGCACTGTGATGTTCCGAACTTACGTTTTGACCATTTAACACCCAGAGGTGATTAACTTGTAACTTCTCCTTAAATATATATACATAACTCAGCAAACAGGTGCTGAAGTCCTAAATGTAATAACATTTGGTCCTAAATGTAATAAAGCCCTAAATGTAATAACGTTCGGTCCTAAATGTAATAAGGCTCCTATGCAATCGTTTAACTGCGATAACATTGAGATGTGAAAGTGACAGCTGTTCCACCAAAGAATCCTCTGACTTATATTCATGGCATATTGCGGACTCACTGATATTAATCAGCGTCTTTATATTTGCTAAAGACGTAGGTTGAAAAGCACTGGCTACAAAACCTTATGCTGATACTGATATGCTTTGGCAGGGACAGCGCAGAGGGAGGGGCTGGGGGGGCTTTAGCCCCCCACTTTTTTGCAAGAGTAAAAATAAATTAAACAAAAAATAATTTAACAAAAAAATTTTCCTTCACGCATTCTTCTTTAGCCCCCTCACTCGAAAACTTGCTGCGCGGCCCCTGTTTTGGCATCAAATTGGCGGACGCAAAAGCGATAGCTCTCTTTGTATCATTGGCTCAGACTCTTAAGTATAACAGATTTTGACGATATACTTCTGTCATCAGTGCTGAAGTTAACACTTCATGAACCGAATTACAAGGAAAAGGAAGTCCACCGACTTACACGTTAGCCGACAAATTCCGGGCTCCGAAGTGCATTTTTTGTGCTGTCTTCCCTTGCCAGATTTGTATGGGTCTGCATAAAATATATTCATATGCGTTATTGACCAAGGGTGAAGTCAAAATGGCTGGATATTGGCCGAGTTCTTTTTTTTTGTTTTGCGTTTTTATGGACTGAGACGAAGTCTCGGTCCATGAAAAAGTAGAAAAAGAACGAATCTAATATCCAGTAATCTTGACCATACAAGTTTAATTTGGTCAAGAGAGTTTATATTCCCTTGGCTTAATCATTAAAAGGTTCATTGTATAGCAAAAGATTTCGCTTTGATAAGAATCAAGAATGGCCTGTTTATTTCGAGAGCCGATAGTGAAAACCAACTGTGTTTGCAGCACAATAAACCCAAGAGGGTCGTTTATTTTTTTCTATTTATATGACAACATTGTCCAAAAGTTACGAACTTTGTAAGTTTTCTTGCGTGGGATCAATACGGGGAATCCCGAGGGGGCGAGGGTGGGCCCATCATGCCCGCTCAGGTAGCCAATCACAGCAAAGGATTCACTTCATCTTGCCTGCGTGCGCTGCTAGCTATTCGATATAGTGACTTACAGAGCAAGATATCTACTGACCAATTATATGTTATCCCATTTCACGATCACAGGTCTCGACTTATTGCCGTTTTCCCACGCAAGAGTCAAATTGAACCATTGAGCTACAACATTCAACACATGATGGTCAGTTGATGGTCTAATGAACCATTCATTTTTTTCCTTTAGCCCCTTATGACGGGTTCATCAGTTCCCGAACCGAAATATTAGGAAAACATGTATCTTACAGTTGATCTAATGTTTATACTTAATTTTTTTGTCTTCATCTCCTCTCCCCACCGTGAGGGGAGAAAATGAATAGATAAATAAATGAATGAAAAAAAGAAAGCTCAACAGTTTCCATTTATAGTCATATAGTACATGAACTGATTACTGAGGTGGAGTAAATCCATAGAGGGCTAGAAATGCAATATCCCAGGTTCAAAATTAAATAAATCAGGTCATTCTAAAAAATTTCGTTGTACACGCACGTCTTCTTGTCATTCTTTTTCCTCTCCTTCCCTTGATCACTTATGTCCAGAAATGCATGCAGTAATAAAATGGCAGATTTGACGAGATTTCGTCAAACCGAGTAAATGCTCATGGATTTGACGATTTTGGCAAATTTAAGTCAAATTCGTCAAATCGAAATCAGCTAAGCGGATATGACGATTTTGAAGAATTTTCGCCATTTTCGTTACTGCATGCATTTGTGAACATATCTCTATTTCTTCAGTCATTCTTGTTTTTTTTTTCTTTCGTTCTCTCTTCTTTTTTCAGTCAAGTTAATTTCAATTTTAACCTGAATCTGGCTCACCAATAAACTACACCTTTATGTGTAGAGGATCACGAAAAAGATATTTTTTTTCCCTCTTTCTCCTCTTTCAGATTTTGACGAAACTTAGATGCGATATATGGATGAACATAATTAGAGTGAAACGAAAAATATACAGATTACGAAAACAGATCCCTTCCTCATTCTGAAACGTTAACCACTTTTTATGTACCGATACCTAAAGGTGGATACTTCCTTGTAATAGGCTAATGGGGAATTGTCACGGAACGGGGTCTCATTTTCACCTCCATATGGACTACAATGGGGTTGCATTTTCAAAAGATTTAAGAATGAGGGTAGGAAAGGGGGGGAGGGGGAGGGTCCTGATCCTGTTATACGCACGAATATTAGAAACTTTCACGCGTCACTTATATGAAAGGAAAAACTTACGTATAAATCCTTTGCCAACCTCAAGAATGGGGTCGAACATATTCGGGATTTGGGGAAAAGGTAGATTTGGGGGAAAATGAAATTATTTGGAATTTGGTATTTGGAAATGGGAAGATTCGCGCTTATAATTTCTTATAACACAGCTATATTCTAACGCGAGCTCTGATTGGCTAATATCTTATGAAAAAGAAATGGATGGTTCATAGAGATGGTTCAGGCTGGCGAAATTGTCGATGAAATTTCTTGCTAGCAAAAATTTGTTTCAAAATTTTGTTTGAGTAAAACTTAAATTCAGCTATTATAATGGTTAGTAATAACCCAACATTTGAGTTTTGGTTTCTCGATGACTTTAAAGATTTAGAAAACTTGTCTGAAATGGTTGTAGAACATCGGTAGCGTCTAAAGATCAACAAAGCGAAAGTGCCACCGGTGGAAAAAACCGGTTCGCAAATTTTATCCGAGGGGGATTTGGAAAAAACACTATAAACAACCAAACAATTAAACAAGATAAAGAAAAACGCTCACAATGACAATGACAATGACTTAATTCCATTGTTTACCTTGTTTTCTTGTAATTGACAACATATTGCGAAGAGAAAAACATCCAAATGGAGCTGGAAAACATGACGATCAGTGAACTCGGAGCAAATCTCCGCAGATTTTAAGCAAAGGACAGAAAAGGGATGGCGATAAAGCCAACATTTTAGGCCAATGTCGTGTAATTTCGACTCCATTTTCAGCAATAGTTGGATTCAGAATGTGCAAGTCGTGGTCTCTTCGGCAAACCATTCAAAATGACTTGTAAAACCGCAGACGTTTTGAAGGCTACATCATTTTGAATGAGTGAACTTTAAAGAAACTTTTTCCTTGACATCTAAGCCAAATATTTTGAGCTGGACGGCGTATGTGTGGTATTTTGATACACTTATTTTGTCATCACAGATGTTAGCTTGTAAACATAAATGTGTTTTTGAAAAACAAGTTGCTCTACTTTAATTGTGCACCCGCACGGTTGAGAGCATTTGCAATTTTTTTAGGTAATCACATGATTTCGAGTGCAATTTGGACTAAATAATCACGGGTAAATTTTTTTTAAGACTAACAAAATTGCACGAGCCGGTTGGGCGAGTGCACTTTGTGGTCTTTGAAAAAATTAACAAGTGCTTGTTTATGCCAAATTGTATGAGAAAAATCATGTGATTACGTGTTAATAATATACCTGAAAAAATACGAGATAGCTTATTATAAGCAAGCATAAGCAAAGCGCGCGCATCAAGTGCAAATTAACAATTGGTTCATACATCAGCGTGCGTTCATCGAGATATGAAGCACGCGGGAAGTTTGGAGAGCAAGAAAGATGCGTAAGAGTTGCTAGAGGCGTAGCCGAGAGCAACTGTAGCTTCTTGAGTGCTCTCCAAGCTTCACAAGTGCTTCATATCTCGATGAACGCACAGCTGACGTATGAACCAATTGTTTTATAACATTTTCGACCCGTTGGAAATTTTTTTTTTCTCGAGGGATTTGTTTGCTGACGTTATGAGCGTGCACAATAGGAATATGAAGCACGCTCGCGCAATTAAATTTGATTACACAAATTTACTAGCTATGTTATAAAAGCAATGGAAAATGTCTAGCGTACGTTCATCCGATTCAGGATGCATGTGGATAGTTGGAAGAGCACGAAGTTAGCCGAAGAGATGGTCTCGGCTGCACCTCGGGCATCTATTAAGCTACCTTTATGCTTTCCGCGAGCACGCTAGGCAATGTCCATTCCTCAAGTTATATTTGTCCAAAGGTGACTAAAATAGGATCTGTAATTGACCACAGAATAGAAAGGGGTCTTTGAGGCCGGCGCCGGACGTGCGCATGCATAGCAGTAATTTCCCTTAGTACCCTCCCCCGCGCAGATTTAGAAGTTTCGTTTCCGGACCAGAAACAGTGCGTTCGAAAACAATTATCAAAACACACCACTTTTGAAACTTTTTTCGAAAGATCTCTTTTATCAGCGCTTTTGGGCATTTAAGTGTGGAAGGTGGTTTAGGAGTAGCTTAGTTGAAGCGTGGCAAATCGAACAGTTTCCGAAACTCGTGATAACCTTGTTATTGATCACGAGTTGGGGCATTAAAGTTTTTCTCTGTCTATTGTCTTTTTGTTCGCCTTGGCTAAGAGTTCGCGTGTTGACGACTCAAGTGTATGTTGAATTCAAATGAAGGCATCGATTGCACAAAACATATCATTTTCATAATTGTTTACCGATACAGTCACTGACTATGGAAAACAAAGGAGGCAAAAAATTGCCTGGAACGCGTGTCGAATTATACCTAACTACGCAGTACAATTTGAAGCTGCGAACCAGTTTACATAACCAGGTTTTTAGAGGAAAGCTCTCCAAAGCCACAGGTTCTGGAGGACATCGACTCCAAGTACCTGTTTGCGCATGCCATCTAGTTGAACTAAAACTTACAGGTTGCTGAAAGCTGCGTGGTTATAATTTATTCTCTTTCTAACAAAAAGCCAAATTATGGCCGAGGAAGCCGCGAACAATGTGGAAATGTGGACAATTGTGGACGTGAATGCTACTCCTGCAAAAAATGGATCAGGTAGGATTATTAAAGCTATATTCAAATAAGCTTATAGCTATTCACGGTGGATATAAACCGGGAAAAATTTCACAATTATTTTTTAAGCCTCTTCAAATAGTTTACTCGATATTGCGTGTTAAGTGTGAATGTATTTGTAATCTGGCGGTAAACAAGTTGCAATATAACTTCGAATTGGATTTGGTACTCCTTTTTATCTTAATGGACTCGAAAAGATTTAGCTCTTGTTGAATTTCCGGCCTTTGTTGGGACCTTTCAGTAGGTTTCGTGTGCGTAATGCGTCTTCTGTGGTGAGCACAATTTTAAAAATCGTCAGGTAACTTGCACTATTACATAATTGCGGGCCCCTTCATACGGGTTTGGTCGTTTTTACTGTCGAAGACTACAAACGACATTTACACCTGTAAAAGTGAATTAGTATTGAGCAACGTTGAGTTAATATTTAACTTGAAAGTCGCAGTATATTTTTGGATTCTCTGCATGACACAATGAAGCAAAATCTAATTTTGCCATGTGCAGTGAACCACATCGACAACGTTGACGCGAAGGACGCCGCAAAGAGAATGGAAGAAACTGGTAGCCCAACGCTTATAAACCATGAAGAAACCCAAGAAAGCCTCGATACAATCTCTGCAATGCCAGGATTGTCTACTAGTGGAAATAGTTTGGTTTTTAACACGAAATACGAAGGCCCAGGGACAGATGTTATCGCAAACGTAACAAGTGTTGGAGACCTCAGAGAAAAGGTCGAACTATCTTGGAAAAATATCAATGTTTTTGTTCCCCAACCCAGAGCTTCTATCTGCCGGCGGGTATGTTGTGGAGAGAAAGAAGATGAGCCCAGGATAAAACAGATCTTATTTGAAGGTAAGAGTGCCGGGCTACCTCGTAAATAAAAGGTCTTGGTAACAGCTGGTATAGCAATGAAGTGTTCAAAACCTTCTTGATCCAGCTCGTAGGATTTCAACTATCAGACGTAACATTTCCTCCACCTGAGTCTTAAAATATGACCACTGTAGCTTTCACAAGGCTTTTTTTCTATTTCGATGAATTCATAAACGGGTTAGCGTGCAGCGAGATAGATGCAGTTTTGTTTTATTAAGTTGGAAACTATATGCTAAACTTAAGTGTTCCGAATTCAAGTTACGTAATATGCGGTTGGTGAATAATTTGGAAAACATCATGCAAAGTTGTGGTTCTTGCCAAACGATGTAATCATCGGGTGAAATGAAATGTAAACAATTCTTTGTGATGAGGTACAGACTAAACGTTCAACATTTGAAGCAAATTATGTAGAAACTCTTTTAAACTTTTCATATTAAGGGAATTGGAGGTCAATTTGTTCTCACTTGAGTTAACTAAATTATGCCACGTCACATAAGCCACCTCAGATGGGCCACATTTATCTTAACATTACTATACATATTCTCCAAACTTTCCTCAGTCTATACTATTTCAAAGCTACTGATAAGGAGAATTTGCCTGGGGATTTGTCAATGTCTCCAAGGAAGTGATAAATGTGATAAAAGAAAATTCAATTGCAAAGAGCACAAAAGATGCTAAAGAAAGATATAAGGTTTTGCTGATTTAATTGCACAAACCTGCTAAAACTCCTCTCTTATCTTGAGTAATCACCACAATTGTGACAAAATATGTTGAATGCTCTTCTTTTTGTTAACAGAATTTACAACAGAATTGGAAAGCACCTGAGTAATTACACTAAAACAATAATCAGTTTGCTTCAGGCTCAGTGAACATTAGTTGAGTATTCCCTTGACTTTGTCATAGGGATTACTCAGCAATATTCTCTCCGCCTTCAGTGAATAATTGTTAACTATTTCAAAACCAAAAATTGATAATCTATATGTGACAGGTTATATTCATCTCACAGGACAGTGTTTGACAGACAAGAATAATTTTTTTTTTAAACAGTATAGATCACATTATGCCTCTCAACTGTGACATTATTTCACATGGGCTCAAGCGAACTATTAACTTTGAAATCAAACCCTGTTTGTTTGACAGATAAACCTGTAATTCTGGAATAAAGTTAAACTTTTTAAAAGTAAACTTTGTGAGCTCACATTGTTTAAAGATAAAAATTGAAATGCAAATGTCTGATTAAGATGTCTGATTAAGTTGTCTGCTTAGTAAGAATTTGTGAAACAAATTGAAATTGTTCATTTTTTTGTCTACATTCCCTTCAATTATGATGAATCTACTGACTACATACAAGTTCATTATGAGGAAAAGATGAAGGAGAAATTTCTATCCTGACAAGTCTCCTAGCTCCCCTCCTAAATTGGGTTCCACTTTATCCAGCTAGTTTTCATTGTATGGTAAAGTTTCAATTCATTCCTGAGCATACTGAGATGTACAAAGTGTGGTGTGTTTATCTTTTATTAGTCAATGGGAAAATTGAGGCTGGAACGTTGTTGGCTGTTATGGGATCAAGGTAACAATCAATTCATGAGATTTTGTTATCTTAACCCTTTAACTCCCAGATCAAATTTGTAATTCCCCTTACTGTCAACCATACAATTCTTATAATGTTAGTTCAAAGAATTAAGTATTGGATCAAGTAATTATCCCCAAATTGATGCTTTTCTTTATTCTCATCACTTATCTGGTTGGTATTGTATTGACATTGTAAGGAGAAATTCTGTCTCAGTCACTCATTGGAGTTAAAGGGTTAAGCCGATTTATTATTGAGTCATATTCTATCAGTTTAACAGCATAATAACCCTTGCAGATTGATTTATAAACTTTTTGAGTTGGGTTATCATGCTAGTGAACTGATAGAAAATCATCATTTACATGGAAATCATTTGGTTTCCTTTGGTTGATTAGGAGTTGTGTTAAAGGCCAGGAGTGGAGAGGAGTCAAAGATGTCTCAAGTTGCAAATTGAATTGCTTGTTTTTCTTGTTTTTGTTCATTATGACTCTTGTTTTGCTCATTGATCTCTGGGCACTTGAGGAACCAAAATGCTAAGAAAAAATTGTATATTGAATGATAAGACTGTTCACTGAATACAAACTGTTTTTTCCTCTCCCTTTAAAGTGGAGCTGGTAAATCCACCTTAATGAATGTGTTAGCACATCGCAACATTGGTCAGGTGCAGGTGATGGGAACAGTGGAAGTGAATGGGCACCCTGTTGGTCTTGAAATCAATGCTTTGTCAGCGTATATCCAACAGGAAGACTTATTTATTGGATCACTGACAGTTAGAGAACATCTGATATTCCAGGTATTTTCTGTGCTTGTTTTGGTGTTGTCCAAGTAAAATTTGTGTCTTACAAACTAAGTTTGAAGTCCCATACTGTAAGTTGTGGAACAGGCTTTTTCTGCTCTGATTATGGTCCATGCATGACATGCACTGGCCTTAAACTCAAGCAAACAAAAAACAGGTTCTGTATCATACATTTCGAACTGCAAAAATAAGGTTTTGACAAACTTTTGAATTTAGTGGGCTGTGTGGTGGAATGCAGTATTAGATGAATATAAAGAAGTATCCTTCCTAAAATAGTTAATTAAACCAATTCTATTCTGTTTATTATTTGTCATAAACTTGTCACATGCCATCAATCTGTTGTGTGTCATCCATATATACTGTAAATTATATAGTTTTTTCCTATATATTTATGATGTAATGTCACATGGTTTTGCTATTTTTACTTGTGATTAATTATGACATATTGTTTGAAGCTGATTCATGTTTGTTTGAGTCATTAATATATAAATATATGTACAACTCATGTATGCTACATGCTGTGTTTGTGATTGTAAAATTGAAGCAAAAGTTTGGTGTAAATGGTGGAAATATTTTTGCAAAGGCTAAATAAATTAGGCATCTAGAATGTTCGTTTTATTTAATATTAGCTATTTTTCCATGGCCAGTAAATCATATAATCCAAAATTGGGATTACAAAGAGGGCTCAAATTCACACCCTTACCCAGGCAAGTTTCAAATTCCCCACCTCTCAGGATGTTGAAGTGTTGAACTGATTGAAATGATCACCCACTAAAGAAGTTCTTGAATATTTACGAAATTCTTTTTGCCAGCATGACACCTTATTTAGGAAATGTATTGAGAACAGTATTGAGCATGTGCATACTGATATTAGGGTTTAAAGTGTTTTCGTTTTAGACAAAGATTGATTTAAATCAATTCAATGAATTCAATTGTTGTTTGAAAATAGGCTCTTCTTCGTATGGATAAACACACATCCAAGGCAAAACGAAAGGAGCGTGTAGAGGAAGTCATGCTTGAGGTAACTGCATTGAAATTATTTAATTTATATCTACTGCTTTATGCAAGGGTTTCGTTTTAAATGGCTAAATGGAATAGTAGAGTACCATGGCATTATTTTGATTTGTAAATCTCCTTTGTTCTATCAACTAGCTTGGTTTGAAAAAGTGTGCAGACACAGTCATTGGTATTCCAGGAAGACTGCGCGGAATTTCTGGTGGAGAGAAGAAACGCTTAGCATTTGCATCAGAGGTGGGTATGGTGATTAATGGTGAATACATGTCCTTGAATGCATCTTTTGGCATAAAGTTACCAGAGGACTTCAGTTTCCAAGTGTCCTTTTGACTATTGGTTTGGGTTGCTAATTAACTTTTTGGCCTTATTGTGAATTTCAAGAAGGGAGATTGAAACACTTCAAGTCCCAAGATTTAGTTCATATTTCATTTAAATTTCTTCTGCAAGGATAGACAAGGGAATAGCAGAGAATATGAAGTCTTATGTCATTATCATACCCTCCAGCTGATTAGTTTGGTAATAACATGCATGCTATAAACTACAGATAGAAAGATCAGAGGTTTGTGCATTTAACTATACTCTGTGTTTTCATTGTGGGAAGTAGACTCAGAACAAAGTGACTCCACCATATTGGGCAATTGGTACCTAGAAACTGTAAGGGATTATAAACCAGATGAAATGTTGGGGGCCCTTTAGAAATGACCACCATCAATACCTGAGCAGTCAGTTAAGTAAGAATGATCTAATCCTAGTTGCTTCATTCTTTAGAAATAACTTGGCTAAGCTTTTAGTTATTGCACATCAGAGTGCCCATCATATACAGGCTTCACCTTCATTTCTTTTTTTCTTCCAAGGTGTTGACAAACCCTCCACTACTTTTTGCTGACGAACCAACATCTGGCCTGGATGCATTCATGGCGCAGAGTTTAATAACATCACTTCAACGTCTTGCAGCCAGTGGTCGGACTATCATGTGCACAATTCATCAGCCATCTTCTGAAGTGTATGCCATGTTTGACAGGTACAGTTTTGATTGTTTCCTAGGGTAGGCCACATGTAGCTACTACTCTGACAATAAAATGATTGCATTTTGACCGCAAGGGATTGCAATCTCAGAATTAATGCCTGACTCAGTATCAGTGAGAAACTGTGCATCTACCCCTCCGCTAATCAAATAATACTCAGCTGATGACAAGTTGGGGTCAGTATTGGGCTAGGGGAGGGTTAGGTGGGCAGTTGCTCAGATACTGACATTGATCCCAATCTCACACAGAGAAATGCACTTCTGTAAATTAAAGTCAGTCTCGCACAAACCATGTATTAAGGCATTTTGAATCACTAGTGCATTGTTTTTGGGTGGAGACATATTTCAGTTATTTTTAACTTCAGCTGACTCTGATACTCTCCTTTTAATGTTTGACAATCTGATGATGTTTCCTTTGCAATTTCCTTTTATCACCTTTTATTAAAACATTTGAGAGGTCAAGGTATAAAAAGAACTGTGGAGAGACTTGAGATTTGGAAGGGTTTTGAAGCTCAAAGGTCTATTATGTCTCAGCAAGTTTCACTCTTCAAAGTGGTAGCATTTCAAAGCAAATACAGTAGTGTGAGTGTAAATGTTTCTTTCCAAGCCAGAGTTGCAAATTCGTTTCCTGGGTTGATACATGGGCATGCAATAAACACCAAACCAATAGGATCTTTTCTTTCTTTATTCCTTTTCCTATTCCTTGGGGTGTAATTATATCGAAGCAGTCAACTGAAATTATTACATAAAGAAATCACCTAAGTATCGTGATCATAGCTTAAGAATAATCTCGATTTTGGAAACGAGCATGCAGCAATTTAAAGAACCAAAAGAAAGGTTAAAAACAAGCTATAATTTTACTTTGAGTAATGACTACAAGCTAGATAACATAATCACAAAACAACTCATTGCTTGCCAACATTCGCAGGTCTTGATTACTTTATCAAGGGTTACAGTCTAACTTGTCTTCTATTCAAAAACAATCTTGATCACATGGGGTCTTATCTTGAACTGAAACACTAACTATAATTTTCTGGCTATAAAGAACTAATCACAGGGGTGTCAACCTAACCTGAAAATATTTCGCAGTTTTTCTTGGAAGCAGTAACACTTAGCTTCAATGGAAGCAGTAACAAAGAAGGCTTATAAAATGTGCTGAGAATTTGTGACCTTTAACACCATTCCCTTCAGGGGTATCCTTAAGTGTTCTACTACAATTCATCATTGTTTAACTGTTCATTTTTTTTTTTTTAGCATTTTGCTGATGGCTGAAGGTAGAGTAGCTTACATGGGTTCCACAGCTGATGCAATACCTTACTTCAGTGGGTATGTTAACAAATGAATCTGATATCCTATTGAATGGGAGGGTAGGTGCTGTGAAAATAGCAGCAGAGAAGGATGACAACTTAAAGTAACCCCAATTACAAGGAAGTCACAGTCATGGTCACCATGGCAACTAAGCTGGTACTGCTCACCTACAAGCATTTTTCAACATAACACTGACAAACCAATTTGTGGAATGGGTACTTGCCAAAATGGGGGGTGTTAGGGAGAGGAAGGGAATAAAAGCATGGAAAGCAGCAAAGTAACTGAGAAAAAAAAACATGGTAATGCCCCTGTGCGTGTACACCACCCAGAAGCCTTCCACATCTGGTTGGTGATTGAACTGTTACTCTTGCATGCAGTTTAACCTTATGTAAATTACATTTAGCCTTATGTAGCATTCTTGTGTCTCTCTTGCAGCCTTGGGTATCCCTGTCCCATGAACTTCAACCCTGCAGATTACTTTGTCCACACTTTGGCTATTGTGCCAGGAGATGAAGAGCACTGTAAGGAAAGAGTTAAGGTAAAGTGTAGTTAGCAAGAAATGGTTGTTAGGGGAACAGTAGAAATTCAGGGGTCATATAAAATGAATGCTTTTCTAATATTGGGTTGATTGGATGGTGGCAGACATGGTGGCTTAACCCTCTACACCTTAACATCAGTATGCATATTCTCCATACTGTTCTCTGTACATTTACAAAGGTGCTGACAAGGAGAATTTGTCTAACAATCAAGAGTTTCTTTATTTGGTGATCATTTCCCTTATTCTCATGACATTGATGTGCGATTCAGTGCTGATACTGTAAGGAGAAATTAGATGCCAGTCACTCTAAGGGGTTATTTAGTCTGGTGGACTCCAGGTGGGGAGGTCTGGATGTGAAACAGGGCCAGGTCATTGTGATGTGTTATTAGGCAAGACATTGTACATACTCAAACTGCCCCTTCCAACTCAGTAGTCTAAATGGATTCTGACAAATTGTTAGGTAGACCATTTGAAATACAAGGGGCAACCTGTAATGGACTGGCCTCCCATCAAGGCATACTCACTTAGCTACATGTTAAATACTTCAAGTCCCTCCTAGTCGTGGAGACCAGTATTAGCTCTGTGCCTCATTAACCCTGTACACCACAACATCGATATGCATATTCTCCACAATGTTTTCCATACATTTAAGATCTTCTCTGGTTTGTGATCATTTCCTTTATTCTCATGACCTTAATGTGTGACCCAGGGGTGATATTGTAAGGAGAAATTAGATGCCAATCACTCTCAGAGTTCAAAGGGTCAAGGGTGCCTGGCTTGAGTGTAGACACGATAGTGGCATAGTTGTTAGCTCAAAGGACCCACCTTCAGTTTGGAAGGTCTAAGTTGTAATCCTCAATCAGGTCACTTCATGTGCAAGGAGTGTTCTTTGGCAAGGTGGGTACCAGTAAATTCTCAGGAAAACCTCGAAAAGTTGCAGGTGGGGGGGGCTAACTGCAATATGGTCTAGAATCCAAACCAGATGGAGGACTGATACTCAAAGTTGCTTTAAACAAATGATGCCGGAATAATCAGGTCATTCAATCTCGTATGGAAATTAAACCTTAATCTGTGATTTGTTGTGAAAATTTCTTTTTGCCACATAACTTAAGGCTTTTGTCAGAAATTAATGTGATTTTCTTTTCCTATCTAGGAAATCTGTGATGCATACAGTGAACGTGCAGCAGAAATTGCCAAAGAAGAAAGTGGGCTTGACAGACAGGTTTGTGGCAGTTTAAAATGATCTTTAAAGCCCCGGCTCAGAATTTCTTGTTCATACGGTGTGATGTGTGTCAAAAGCAGAATTATGACTAAATTTTTAAGCTCTCTATGGCTGCTAGCTATCTTTTCTATGAGATGTTAACATGCACTCTTCACTTTCTTGACGATGTGAATGATTAAACCCAACTCTCCCCTCCCCTCACCCTCACCCTCACCTCATACTTGCTCCATTACAGGCACGCCTCATTTCCAGAGGGGGGGGGGGAGGAGGTGGGTGAGGCAGAAAGAAGAGAAGTCCTGGTGACATGGCTACCTCCAATACTCTCCTTCAAATGCGTGAAAGAATAGTAACAGTAACTGTGCATTAACTGTGCAACTGTTAGGACTAACTGGACTATGCTACAAAGTGCCAATAATCTTTTAACTTCCATTAGTGACAAACATATACCTTCCCTAGCTGATTTTACAGAGGGAAACGAGGACGCAGAGTATTAAGCGACTGGAGCCCAAACCTTTTGAGATCTTCATGTGCCATCCGAATTCGTCTCTTCCTTCTCTTACCGTCCGTAGCCGGGTTTGGTGCTCTCTCATTACTTTAGCGCTTTTCTTATATTTCAGGATTCCTTCAAAGGAGATGTTCTTTTCAAGAAGCAATCACCGTAAGAATTTATACTTATCCTTGTACTAATACTATGCGAGTTCGTACTGTTGTTAGTGTGTCATGAACCAGGTCGTGTCTGTCACGCGTCTGCTTGAGAAATTTACATGTGTACATTTTGTTCTAATCCGGCTGAAAAGAATGGTAGAAAAATCGCCCAGAATTTTCATTACTTTTACTAGGGTCTTTTGGGAAAGGCGAGTGAATTCGAACTCTGTTTTTCTTTTCAGATAACTTGCATTCTGTGTCGCCTTTTTTGCATAATATTGTTAAAAGGTTACACTTTTGTAATTCTATTTTTCGTAGATACAAAGTTTCCTGGTGTCGACAACTTTGGGCCGTCTTGTGGCGCTCTTGGATTACCAACAGTAGAGACATTATCATTTTCAGAATTAGAATATTTCAATCAATTGTGAGTTGTTTCCATAATTTAGTCAAACGTATGTTACTATTGTAGACCCAGACAATGGCTTAAAATCAGTGGCAAAGTGCCTAAAATACTGATTAAAAGACCACTCCTGAAAGGAGTCCGGAACCCTACTCCCCTTTCCTCCCCCCCTTCCTTCCTTCGCACCCTCCGAAATTCAGCTGCGAAATGTTCGCCATTGTATTGGGTTTGGGAGGGAGGAGAGGGAGAGGCAAACACCTTCACAGCATTAAGGAACATCTTAGCCCTTTTGCCACTGATTGTCGCTAATTACGTTCTTCGTCGTCATAGATAATGTAAATTCGAGACATCGTTTTTCCTTTTATTTTAGAAATGTAAATTCGAGACATCGTATCATGTAATGACAAATCACAGTGTATCTTGTTCATTAAAAATGTTGTACTTCTCATGAGCGAGCAATTTCGGTCTGTTTTTCTTACCTTTTTAATGTAAACAACTTCTAAACAAGTCGCAAAATATAGCGTATCTCTGTTCATTGATCTTAATCTCTCTCTCTGTTAACTTTACGTAGGTTACTGCGCTGATCGCTGGATTAATCTATCTTCAAATACCTTATGATCAAGATGGTATTCAGAACATTGCTGGCGTATATTTCTTTCTAGTTACATCTACTTCGTTTTCCAATCTTCAGGGAGTCCTCTTTGTAAGTATATCAACACTAAAGTACAGATGTTTCTCTCCTTTTCCTACCCTCGAAATTGATCAATAAGCATAGCTGTAAGAAAAAAGCGAGAAATGATCCAAGAAATTTACCCTTTACACCTGACGATCAGCATGCATATTCTCCTTTCTGATCTCTATACGTTTCTTAAGACGATAAAGGGGATTTGTTTAACAATCAAAAGCTTCCTTAGTTGGTGATCATTTCCGTTATTCTCGTAACCTTAATGTTTGATTCAGTGGTAATATTGTTAAGAGAAATTAGATGCTAGTCACTCTTAAAGGTCAGAGGGTTAATCGTATTTCAGAAAACGTGTAGGTTTACTCTACGAATTTCAAGTGTGTTTTGCGCCCTCATCATTTCGGATATATTTCAGGGGAAAACTGAAAAATTTGAACTACTGCACAAGTATTAAAGTAATACTTGATTTCTTTACAGGTGTTTCCAGTTGAACTACCTGTTTTTATACGAGAACACAAAAATGGAATGTACAGAACAGACGTCTACTATCTCGCGAAGACTTTGTCCGAGGTACCGTGATGTGGAATTGATTTGATTTGTAGTTACCATCAAAATCACTTAACTCTGATCACCAAGTGTTCTTCTGGAATGTTATTATGCCGAAAGGAGCTAATCCATGGAACGTAAAAGCAGCAAAACTGTTAGCAGCAACGATAATAAGTTTCGAAAGAGGAGTGTCATCGTTTTTCTCACGATTAAGTCACTAATCAACTTGTGAATAAATAGAATGCTAGATTTCTAATTCGGGCTGACCATTACATTAAGTAGTGATAGATTTCTCGGGAAGTTCCAGGGTCTTATGTAAGAGGTAATCTGGTTTTATCAACTGAGTTGATAATGTCAATTAGCCACCGTAAAGAATTTCAAAGCGGACGTTTCGTGCGTTGACCCTTCGTCAGAGCTAATGGAGGAATTGTGGGCTATGTGTGTGTTTATATGCAGAAAACGGAGCTACGCTATCGGTGGGAACACGGTAACGAGAAAAACAAGAATAAATTAGTTGAATGAAGAGCGTTTGTTGATACCGTGGTAATCAAGAGTGCCGTTTTGAGGAAAAAAATTTTCGTTCTACAGTTTTGCGGCTTCCCGAACTGCCTAGATGTAAGGAAAGGCCGCAGACTGCCTTATGCTGCTTAGAATGATTAGGGAAATTAAAGTATCTAGCAGTACCACAGTTCCTTTAGAAGCTTACGCCCTTTATTCATTTCTTAGATCAAAGGGTCAATGATACGCGAATGAATTGGTGGAATTTTAAACATGTGATCAATTTGTTTTTGTAGGTGCCCATTTTTATCATTACTCCTTTGCTTCTGACCGGTATTTCGTATTGGATGATTGGTAAGAAATATTTTTAAAGGAGACGTGTTTTACTCCTTGATTATTTTATACATCAAGTGTGCAGCTAGGGAGGGGAGGGGAGGTCCGGGGGTGCCCGTGACCTCCCCTTTGTAACCCTTTTTTTTTTCACTTAAAGTGAAACACGGCGTGGAAGTCGACAGTGTGGTGAATTTTCGTTGAACTCTTAGCACATTTTTCTCGTAAGAGTAGTTAGAGTAGTGTTGCTTTTTAATCCAAAGAAACTATTAAGTTCTACTATTCTTTTTTGGCAGGTTTGAGGGATAGATTTTTAAATTTCGTAATCTGTTACGCAATTATGGTTTTGGTAACAAATGTGGCGGTCTCCTTTGGTAAGTGTCGTGTACCTTGATCACGTCAACAAGCTTTCATGTTTACGTATGGTTCAATCCAACAATGTTGCGAACGATGTTGTTCAACGAACGCTCCCAACGAACGAATCCGAACGAACAAATTTGAACGAGAGAACGAACGTATAGTAACGGCGGCCAATCGAAAGGTTAATCGAATGAGCCAACGAGTTAGTTGGAAGTACTATTCAACTTCCGAAGGAATGATTAAGAGAACTGAGCAACAGTGTTACACCCACAAACCACGAAAACTTCGAACGAAAAACCATCAACCAAACAATCCAACAAATGCACGAACCATAATGATCGAATCATCGACCGAACGAACGAACAATCACACCGTAGAACCAACGAGCCAACAGTGTGTCCACTATTGCTGACAATCACAAATATTTTTCAGGGTACATCATATCGACAATAGCACCAACCATCACTGCAGCAACATCTTTGGGTCCCCCACTTATGTTACCTTTATTGATTTTCGGAGGATTCTTTCTCAAGTCGACGTAAGTTGTCTCCCTTGTCTTCATTATTACGTACCTTGAATACATCTACACTGTAAACATTTGTTGTGTGAGACGCGGTGGCCTAGTGTTGGCGTGCTGAACTCGAGAAGTCTGGGTTCGAGCCTTAGATGGATCACTGTGTGCGGTTCGTGTGCAAAATGCACGGGGCCTTTCCACTCAAGAGTAAAAATGGGTAGCATGCAAGAGACTGTTTGGGAGACCTGGTGAAATGGTAACGAACGATGGAGCAGCTTCTAACCTTGGGAGTGTAGCAATGGTTAAAGAAGCACCAACATGTGATCACTCATGAATATATATTTTGGTGTTTCTTTCCCTTAATAAAGTCATTGGGCTTTGTAGGAGCTCTCTTTCTAAATTTGTTTTCTACATTTTTTGAGAGATTTTCCTGTTGTTGTTGGGTTTTTTTGGGTTTTTTTTGTTTGTTTTTTTTGTCGTTTTATGTGTGTGATTTTGTGATCTGCGAAAAAGGCACCGTTAACTTGGAAGAAACTTATCAAAGATCAAATTTTGTTCTGTGAGATGGACAAAAAAACCGCGTAACTGTCTACAGAATATCAATGTGTTCATGATCTCGTGAGCAGTGGAAGTAAACCAAGTCGGAACGATTATGGCTAAGGAGGGAGAAGATATCAATTCTGCTGTTTTGATAAGGACAACTAAATAACGAAGTGTAAAGTGGGCTCCGATATGATACCGCTAACACAAAGTCACCCAATGTAAACTTCACCGGCAGTCTGCATTTTCGTTGATGAATTAAAAAACTGGACCCCCATTCACTCACTTCTTGTTTTGTTGTTTCAGATCGGTGCCGGTTTATTTTGTGTGGCTGAAGTACATTTCTTGGTTTATGTATGGCTTTGAAGCTCTCATTATCAACCAGTGGAAAGACTATGGTTCTATCAGTATGTTTTGTGTTGTTTATTGTTTCTTTTGAAGCCCTGTTCATCAACCAGTGGAAAGACTTGGGTTCTCTAAGTATGTTTGGTGTTGTTTATTGTTTCTCTGGAATCTCCAGTAAGTTTCTGCCCCCAAAACGCTCAGCCAAACAAGAATGTAACGTGTCCTGAAAGCGTTTTATACCGTTGACGAAACCGTGTTTTGCTCCTAGGTTGTGGTACAAATGCTACAGCTACACCGCCAGTTGTTAACGGTACCGGTGCAGTTCCGGGAGAAAAAGGGTTTTGTATAAAGAACGGAAACCAAGCCATTGACTTCCTGGGCTTTAAAGAGGTACGTAAAGAATAGGTGACCTCGTAGAAAACTAATTTGGAAGACCTCTATTGGTGGAACAAATTTCTTGTAAACAGATAAAAATGTCAAGAAGATATACTGCACGAAAACTTGAAAACAAAGATCAACCATTTTGGAGCCCGGATTTTCTTCTCGGTTTTAATGATGACGTCATCTATACGTTTTCTAGATCTGTGAGAACCAATCAGAATATCTTATTATATAAATCAAAATAGACCACGTTAAATGTTGCCATATTCCTGTATTTCTTACCATTGTTTATTGTGCAGGCACCGAAACTGCCGCATTACATTAACCCTCTTCTTAGGTCAAAAATAAAATCATTGCGTTGCCTTGCCAGCTTGTTATTTTGTTGAAGCAAGAGTTCAATAACTTTTTTTTTATATATTTTTTTACTTTTAGGACAATTTGCTGTTCGACGTGTACTGTCTCATAGCTTTAATGGTTGGCTTCCGTGTACTTTCCTTCTTGTTTTTGCTGAGAAGATCTTACAAACAACAGTGATCTCTCCTCCTTTCTTTAAAACACTATTGTATGCACTCTATCGTTATTTTGTTTATTCTCTGCTCCTTGGAGGCTCTTGTACTTGTACTTAGGCGGGTGTTGCGGTGGAAAGATGAGGAAGGCCAAAATGGAAGGTGCTCAGCGTACGATTGAAGGAGAGATGATTCATCTTTTCTTTCAAAGCGCACCTTAGACTGGTATCCTCCTCTTCTTGAATAAAGGGAGTTTATTCATGTAGAAGTTTTAGGTAAAGAAACTAAGCCGTAGTAAAAATAGGCTGTGGCCGAAATTTTTTTCAACATTTTCGCCCATTACTCGTTTATTTTTGACTTCTTTGTTTTTTTCCCCTGCTTGTTATCATTTACCTTCTCAAAAATTACCAGATGAATTTTCTCTATGACTGTGTGTTGCAGCTGATTAATTATTGATCAGCATTCATAGACTGACATGTGACTGTACTTGTTACACCTCGTTGTTCATGACCTGATGTATTACAGGAGAGCACATGCGAATTAAGTATATATTCTATATTTGTAGTTTATAACGTTATATCAAGTTTACTTTGATATACAATATATCTGATAGAGCAGTACACTGTTTTTTTCTTTAGTTCATAATTTTTAACGATAATTCATGGTATTATGTAGAATGTGGAAAAAAAAAATCCAGCAGTAACTCAAGGTAAAGCTCTTGCTAAGAAAAACATCGATAAAAATGAAAAATGTTTCCTACACGATTTATTAGCGGTTATCAGTTTTGCGTTAGCGGAGTTGTATTGAGTTAATCAGCTGCGTTTTAAAATTTTCTAACCTGTCGCAAGGACATTGGTGCGATTCAATATTTGTAGTTTAAAACATCAAGTTTACTTTGATATACAATGTAACTGATGAAACAGTACATTGCGGTTCTTTATAGTTAACAATTTTTTATCGATAATTCATAGTGATATGTAGAATATAGAAAAAAAAAGCCCTGTATTTCGCGGTAACTTAAGGTAAAGCTTTTGTTAAGAAAAGCCTCGGATAAAATGAAAAATGTTTCCTACATGATACAACTTGTATGAGACATCACTAAATGTTTTGTGTTACGAAAAGTACATTAGTAGCCTAGTGTAGATCACATCGAAATGAACTTGTCTCTGAATGGTCGTTTCTTATTTTGTTCAGATTACCTTTTTTTTAATGTTCGTTTTCTTTTAGCGCGAACTACGTCGAGCCGTGTACCGAGCATGTGTGTAACAAGTAAGCCGTGTACACGTACCCTGTTGAGATGCGCATGCTGCAACGGAATCTTAACGAACTGGGAACAGAGTTGAGACGAAGAGAAATGATAGAAGAATTCCTTTCGCTCTTCGAAAAATTCGATAATTACTTTACAGGAGAGAAATTTGTCTCCACGCATCAAACTGTCAACGTTATATTGTGGCTCAAGATCCATCGAACATTTTGGCTTGCACGCGGCGATTGGTCTAAATGCATCACTAGACCGATTATCCCTCAGCTGAAACTGGGTAATATCCGAGAAAATCACCTACGCGATGCTCTCCAACTTTCAAACCTTACGTCGATTACAACAAAATTTAGTTTAAGATGAGAAAGCGTTGTATGGTTGTTACAGACGAAGGAAAATTTTTGTTTGTTCATAAAGTCGTTAAAAAAAACTCTCAGAGAAGACATCCCACGCGGCAAGCGGTGAGCTATTCGTAAACATGTTTTCACGCGCGTTACAAGACATTTGAAGGATAATAAACACAATAGCCTCTGTCTGGCGCTAAAAATATGCCAGTGTATTTTTCTTTGGACAATATCTCTTACTCGAAGCTTTCAGTTTTCTTTTAGCTTCGCTCTCGGTGAACTGTTCACATATTGGAGCAGATAATGTCCGCAGACAAATATCTATGCATATTTTCACGCAAAATAGATGTTTATGTATTGCCCCTACACCTTATCACCGGGATTTCTTAGTCAGTGCAATAATGATAGACCCTGGCCCTCTCCGCAGCAGCCCTACATATGGTTTTTGAACCCGTATGCACGGAAATAATGGCTGCACGAGGTCACAGCCCATGTTTTTGCAGCAAATACTCCAATCTAACGCGAAACGATGCCAAAAGCAACACACTGGAGGGCGAAACTCTCACTGTACCTTGTGTACATTAAGTTTACCTTTCCTCATGTTTTCCCTTTACAGAGGAACCTCTCCTTTTGAACTCTTTTCTGGGTCCCAATTCCCTCGCCTGAAATTCTTTCCCACCCCGCCTTCATGAAACTTCTATCTGCGTCGCTTTGGCTGATAACTTTAGCTTCATAATGAATTGAAAGACTTTGGAGGTTTGGCAGATGTGGCGCGTGATCAGACTAAAGTTAATATGTGATGCGTGAAGTTATGAACCAACGTGAGTCGTGATCTGCCACATGAAATACAATGAAACTTCTATTAAGCGGGCCCCCCAATTTATTGGAAACCCTTTTTTAAGCGAAGACTAAGCCGGGTCCCTAAATTAACGTCTCATATTTCCCTTTGTAACGAACTCCAATCCAGTGGACGCTTCTATTAAAGTGCATATGACACGAAATTTTCTTTCGCGTAAATATTTAGATTTTCATATGTGCAAACCAGTTCCGATGGAAAAAAACTTAAACTCGGTTTTTTCGGCCCCTGAAGCGCCCTTATTTTGTCTTAAAAGTGTCCCGTTGACTGGTAACGAATTAGCGGGTGATGACGTAGAAAACTTCGAAAAACTCTCAGTTGACACTAACAGATCTCTCACATCTCTTGTAATTTTGTATCAGTCAGCATTGAAATTCTTTTATAATAATGTCCGACAGCGTTGTATACCTAGCTTCAGTAAGCTCCACCGAGAGTTGTGATACATCCTACTCAAGTAGTAACAAGGAATGGAAGTTGCGAGTTCGGTTCAGCCCTACGAAGGAGAACCGCGTGCATCAAACGAAGATTTCGACGAAGACTGACAAAGACGGTTTCTCGCCTTCGGCGTTCAGGTCAAGATTAGAACATAAACTACCGTTACTGAATTTTTAGTTTGTTGCTTTTGTGTTTTGTTTTCTATGGCGAAATATATTATAAGATTGGGTAGCTGAGGTCGTTTCTATTGCCATAATATTTTATTCCTTGGCACTAAATGCGGCGAATGTTCCCCTTGGTCAGTGCTCTAGAGTTTCGTGGCTGTAGTGTAATTCTCTTAGCAAACCAAAAGCTAACTGTAGACGAAGAATCAGCTGTATCACGAGGCGCGATAATTTTTCGCCGAGAAGTCATCGATCAATTTGACTGCAAGTTGCTGTTTTTCTCAGAGATTGCTAAGGTAGAGGCTATCGTCGTCGAGACGGTCAAACGGAAAACGAATGAATTGATAGTCATCTGATTCAAAACACATTCTCAAATAGGGATTTTAATAGAAAAAACTTCCTTCGTTTAGGTGCAGCATTGTCATTTGACCCATTTCGCTCAATGGCAAATAACTGACATCAGTATATTCCGACCGTTTCGTCTCTCACTTCCCCCGCCCGCCCCGGCCCTGGGCTAGAAATTGACCCATTCCCAATCAGATGCTAGAAGAAGCCTTAATTTGGACATTGAAGGTCTCGTTTCCAATAAAATGCGCTATCTATCTCGCCGAGATTTGGAGGGAGCTCTTTCGCTTTTTAACTGCTACTGTAATGGGAGGACTGAAGAGGGCAAACACTGGTACGCGAGACTTAAAAGTGAGAGACCCTGTCTACTGGAAGTCAGCCGAAAGGAAAGCTGAGATTTTACTAGAGATGACGTTAAGAGGACACCATCCTAAGGTGGTCAAAATAAGCATGATAACAACTATTCTGGGGGAGTTAGGAGGTATATAAGTTGTAAGAAGCCTGACGTTGCGCGAGGATTGAGACGAAAACTGAAACAGGCAAGGAGATAGTCGCATCAAATGAAGCGCGCAGAAGAATAAAGTTGAGGGCGATGAAACAAGTGCGCGGAAAGATGGGATAAAGGAAAACTGTAATGAAAATAAAAAGGAGGAACAAAAGGAAGCAGAAAAAAGGGATGCGCAAATGTGAAAAGGCGTAAAAACTTGTGTGAGGAAAAAAGGCAAAAAAGCGCAGACATATAAATGTATGGACACGTCCAAAAACCGTTCAAAACCGTGTAACAATATGGAGAATGATAGACAGTGGAAGAGACACAATTGAAAAGACAACACGCATTTTTGAAGCGGTGGGGGCTTGAAACTGAAATGCTAGTACACTGTCAGCTGCATAGATAAGCAACGTGGCGTGCGCGGGTCATAACAAGCATTAAAGTTCCTACAGGTTCTGTTCTCTGCATCTCACGTGAATCCTTAATATGGAGAAAGACAATGAAAATTAACGCAGTTTTTGTATTTTATACACTGTATATTTGTCCATTCATACAATGCCTATTTAGTTAAAACTGTTTCAACTTGTTTTTAAAATCCTACGTTACATAATATTCAATCCATGTGCGAGGTTAGCTATTACATTTTACAGCACCATCTACCAATGGTAGTTACGAAAATCTGCAAAATCAATACTGATTTTATAAAACTTTCTTCTAAAACAGCTGTGATACATTATATCTTAAACTTTTGACCACATAACGGGTTCTAACTACAAAGCGTGCTCTAAATACCTAAGTATAAATTCTTACATCTAAGAAAGATATTAACCCTTTCCACCCTAAAATCAGTATGCATATTCTCCATCCTGATCTTCATGCATTTCCTGAGGTACTGACAAGGAGAATTTGTTTACCAATCAAAAGCTTTTTTCACTGGTGATCATTTCCTTTATTCTCATGACCCACGTGTTATTCAGGGATGATATTGTAGGGAGAAGTTTGATGCTAGTCACTCTTAGGGTCAAAAGGATTAATAGACATCTTCAAATTATACTAACTAAGGTAAATTTCAAGAAATGAAAAAAATTTGAAGAAGGAATTTTCAAAAATTGAAAGTTTTATCCTGAAGCCCTGAACCTTTTCAACTACGGACTAGATTTACATTTATTCATGAACTTTTTCACCAAAAAATCCCATTGAGGACTACATGGCTTACTTTATTTTCTTGTCTAATTTAAGGCCGTAAATATTTTTCTACTAGAAACAACAAATTCCATCTCACTTACATTAAAAGTAACAGCGATGGAAACTTCAGTCACAGTGAACTCTGCTTTGCTGTTCTTTGTTTAGATTACATGGAAAAGTATTAACCTCTCTGTCGTGGTTCTTTAAAACGAACAGATAAGTGTTTGATAAAACGAACGAAAATTGACCGATCTCTGATAAAAAACAGGGTTGTAGCCAGTTTTTTGACTTGTTGAAAGCCTGTTCCTTAAGAAATTTCAATTTTTGTTTTAACATTTGCAAGAGTCATTATAAAAGTCAGGCAGGCGGTTGGTCACAATGGTTGGCTGGGCCTACGGGACTAGAGGCTGGCTACACCCCAAAAAGTAGGTCTAATGTCTCTAACATGTGGTCAGTATATTCGATAACATAATCACTGATGTTTACTTCGTCAAATTAAGCTTTAAATGGCAATCTTAGCACTGATAGAATTAGCTTGTATTAAAATGGATCAAAAAAAAAATTAATAACAAGTTTTTCTTGTAATGATAATCTCAATTTATCAAGTAATTCATGATGTAGAAGAGCCATATTCTAAAAGTCAAGTAGGTGGAAAACAATGGTAGGCCGGGCCTAAGGGGACTAGAGGCTGGCTACACCCTAAAAAAGTAAGTCTAATGTCTCTAACATATGGTCAGTAAATTCAATAACATCATCTTTGATGTTTACTTCGTCAAATTAAGCTTTGAATGGCAATCTTAGCACTGATAGAATTAGCTTGTATTAAAATGGATTTAAAAAATTATCAATTCTTCTTGTAAAGATAATCTCAATTCCACTGATCAAAATATAATGAAATAGACTGTTTTTATTTCTACACCAAAGTAAAGTTACACATCTCAAGTTCTATTTAACAAAAAGTAAAAAGTAATGAAAAATAGCCAAAAACTTCCAAAATAGAGGGACATTTCAAGCTTCCAAGTTCCTCCGCCATTTTTTCATTCTTTTTGAGAAGAAAGAAAAGCCAATTTTTTATTTATGTGATTTAATATTCAAATTTTTCTTTCCTTTCCCATGAAGTCGAGAGTGACGTCATCTCCAATTAGCGAAAAGGGCGCCCAGTGTTTGATGTCGCGGAACTTGTCTGATTCTCTGAGGCTTTTCATGGCCAGGTTCAGTGACTCGCTTGCAGGTTTACCTTCTGCAAGGTGTTGATAAAAGCATTTCATAAACTCGAGAGTAGCCTCGTCATCAATCGCCCACAGGGACACCACAACAGACCGAGCACCAGCTCCCATAAAAGCGCGCGCAATGCCAACCACACCTTCAGCCTTGATCTCACCCCGACCACTGTGGCAGCAACTAAGCACAACAAGTTTGGCGTGAAGTTGAACGGTCAACACATCTCCAATTGTTAAAATGTAGTCCTCCTCCGTTGGCACATCAGATATTCGGTCTGGGTCAGGTGTAAGAGCAATTTCGCCAGTTTCCATACATCCGTGTGCTGCAAAGTGAACTAACGAAACGGAACTGAGTCTTTTCAACACCTCACGTTTCGTGGCCTGTCTGCCAGTGATTGGGGTGATATTCAGAATTTTTCCGATCATTTCTACTTCTTCTTTAGCAGACGGAAGCTGCTCGAGGGGTTTTTCTCCCTTGCTGTCAGTAACCTCTGTTACCCACGGATCTCCAACAAGTAACGCACCACTGCTTTTGTGATAATCATCTGCGCAATCGGCAATGAGTCTAAGACTTGTTAACGATGGGGCGAGTCGGATTCTGAACGATTCACACATGTATTTAGAATTACCATCCTTGAGTGCAGCGTAAGGAGCGAGCCACAGGGGTCCATCGGGAATAATGACTAGCTCATCCCCTTGAACCAGGTCAGCCACCGGCTTTATAACGTTATCATACAAAGTGCTCAAGCATTCGTTTTGTTGGATGGGAGGTTGAGGGTTGTGTTCTTTAGTTTTCTCATCCACTTTTGAATGGCTCTTCCTCAAAGCATCCAAAGATCGATTCTCACATCTCACGTTAGAACGAACACCAAGTTGTGTATAGACACAGCACATGAGCGACTCAAAGGACTGGCTAGCTCCACAATTCTCTAAAACAGAACCATTAAGTTTACTTTGTCTTAACTGAACTTGTTTTCCTAAGGACACAACCCAAAGATTGAGTTCAGCTTTGTCCACTGCCTGAAAGACAGTGCTCGATGGAACGTTTTTTAAAACTGCTAAATCTTCATCGCCTCCCTTGTGCTGGCTTGTGCCACCACAAAAACGGGATTCCATGAGGTCGGTTAGAGCTTGCGCTCGTCCTTTCTCAGCGGCAAGTAAAGACTCATCTATATTACCTTGCTCTACGAGAACTCTCCACAAACCCGTATACGCGTCTTGGTACCGATTTCGAAAGTTGACTTTCCACTCATCTTTAGATTTTAGAAGTACTCTCAAGGAATTGTATAAGGTTATGCTAACTTTATAATGTTCAACGGCTTTTGGCAGTCGACCCTGTGACTCAAAAACGCGTCCTATTAAATAGAACGCCAATGCCTCCAAGGATTTGTCTTCTACCTTTTTGGTAATTTCGAGCATTAGGTTGTATGATTTGTTAGCGTTAATCAAATCTCCCAGATAAAAGTATGCATTGCCAAGATTGCCATGGGCACGACCCTCCCCATGCTTGTCTCCTACTTCTTTAGCTATTTTCAGATGTAAGTTGTGGTGCTCTATGGCTTTTTTGAAGGCACCCTGACTTTGAAAAGCATTGCCAAGATTGCCATAAGCGGTACCCTCCCCACGCTTGTCTCCTACTTCTTTAGCTCTTTTAAGATGTAGGTTGTGGTACTCTATGGCTTTTCTGAAATCACCAAGACTCCCATAAGCACTGCCAAGGTTGCCATAGGCGTTACCCTCCCCAAGCTTGTCTCCTACTTCTTTAGCTATTTTAAGATGTAGGTTGTGGTACTCTAGGGCTTTTTTGAAATCACCAAGACTCCAATAAGCATTGCCAAGATTGCCATAGGCATCACCCTCCCCATACTTGTCTCCTACTTCTTTAGCTCTTTTAAGATGTAGGTTGTGGTACTCTATGGCTTTTCTGAAATCCCCAAGACTCTGATTACCATTGCCAAGATTGCAAAAAGCACCACCTTCCCCATGCTTGTCTCCTACTTCTTTAGCTATTTTAAGATGTAGGTTCTGGTACTCTATGGCTTTTGTGAAAGCACCTTGACTTTCATACACATTGCTAAGATTGCAAAAAGCACCACCCTCCCCATGCTTGTCTCCTACTTCTTTAGCTATTTTAAGATGTAGCTTGTGGTACTCTTTGGCTTTTTTGAAATCACTCAGACTTTCATAAGCAATGCCAAGATTGCAATAAGCGCTACCCTCCCCACACTTGTCTCCTACTTCTTTAGCCATTTTAAGATGTAGGCTGTGGTACTCTATGGCTTTTTTGAAATCACCCAGACTCTGATAAGCACCGCCAAGATTGCTATAAGCAACACTCTCCCCATGCTTGTCTCCTACTTCTTTAGCTATTTTAAGATGTAGGTCCTTGTACTGTGCAGCCTTTTTCAAATCACCTAGTGTGCCATAAGTACTGCCAAGATTGCCATAAGCAACACCCTCCCCATGTTTGTCTCCTACTTCTTTAGCTATTTTTAAATGTAGGTCATTGTACTCTATGGCTTTTTGGAAATCCCCAAGCCTCTGATAAGTATTTCCAAGATTGCCATAAGCAACACCCTCCCCATGCTTGTCTCCTACTTCTTTAGCTATTTTAAGATGTAGGTTGTAGTACTTGATGGCTTTTTTGAAATCCCCAAGCCTCTGATAAGCATTTCCAAGATTGCCATAAGCAACACCCTCCCCATGCTTGTCTCCTACTTCTTTAGCTATTTTAAGATGTAGGCTGTGGTACTCGATGGCTTTTTTGAAATCACTAAGAGAGTTATAAGCATTGCCAAGATTGCCATAAGCACCACCCTCCCCATGCTTGTCTCCTACTTCTTTAGCTATTTTAAGATGTAGGCTGTGGTACTCTATGGCTTTTTTAAAATCACCAAGAGATTTGTAAGCATTGCCAAGGTTACTATAAGTAATACCCTCCCCATGCTTGTCTCCTACTTCTTTAACTATTTTAAATTTTAGGTTTTGGCACTCTATGGCTTTTTTGAAATCACCCATACCATGATAAGCATTGCCAAGATTACCATAAGCAACACTCTCCCCATGCTTGTCTCCTACTTCTTTAGCTATTTTAAGATGTAGGTTCTGGTACTCTATAGCTTTTTTAAAATCACCAAGACTCCGATAAGCATTGCCAAGACTGCCATAAGCAACACCCTCTCCGTGCTTGTCTCCTAGTTCTTTTGCTATTTTAAGATGTACGAAGTAGTTATCTATGCCTTTTTTGAAATCCCCAAGACTCTGATAAGCATTGCCAAGATTGCAAAAAGTACTACCTTCCCCATGCTTGTCTCCTACTTCTTTAGCTATTTTCAGATGTAGGTTTTGGTACTTTATGGCTTTTTTAAAATCACCAAGACTCTGATAAGCATTGCCAAGATTGCAATAAGCAACACCCTCCCCATACTTGTCTCCTACTTCTTTAGCTATTTTCAGATGTAGGTTGTGGTGCTCTATGGCTTTTTTGAAAGCACCTTGACTTTGAAAAATATTGCCAAAGTTACTATAAGCAACACTCTCTCCACGCTTGTCTCCTACTTCTTTAGCTATTTTAAGATGTAGGTTGTGGTACTCTATGGCTTTTCTGAAATCACCAAGACTCCCATAGGCACTGCCAAGGTTGCCATAGGCGTTACCCTCCCCATGCTTGTCTCCTACTTCTTTAGCTATTTTAAGATGTACGTTGTGGTACTCTATGGCTTTTTTAAAATCACTAAGACTGTCATAAGCATTGCCAAGATTGCCATGAGCAACACCCTCCCCATGCTTGTCTCCTACTTCTTTAGCTATTTTTAGATGGAGGTTGTGGTACTCTATGGCTTTTTTGAAATCACCTAGACTGCAATAAGCATTGCCAAGATTGCCATGAGTGTTACCCTCCTCATGCTTGTCTCCTACTTCTTTAGCTATTTTAAGATGTAGGTTGTAGTACTCTATGGCTTTTTTGAAATTACCCTGACTGTAATTAGCATTGCCAAGATTGCCATAATTGTTTCCCTCCCTATGCTTGTCCCCTGGATTATAGAAGTCTATGACTTTTTGGAGATCACCTGAACTTGCACTAGCATGGTCATTGCTAAATGTAACATGATCTTTTTCCTCCATTGACTTGTCTCCCACTTGTCTGACAGACTGAAGCTTTAATGACAACAAGATCCTATTATTTTTGTCAATCTTTTTTCATGTTAAGTTTCAAAATGTGAAAGATTATTTTTCTGATCACAGTGGTATATAATAGTCCATTATTAGTTGCATGCTCGGTTGCCAAGCCTTTGAAAAGGGGTGTGGCTAAGGGTGACCCTGTGATGATGCAAACATTGCTGCTTTTTAAATGCAAATTATAAACTTTGTTATCATGCTAACAAGACACTGGTCTCTATCACAACAAAATCACCTTCAGTCTGACTCCAAATCAAAGGCTTAGAAACTAAGTACACAACTGTAAAATGGACTATTGGGAGGGCTTATGATAAAGGTAAATGTTAAATCAACATTCAGTCTTAAATTCAGTTATAATGTAAATCTACACCACAAAAAGTTATCTGTGTAAAACCTTAAATTTTAATGCGAAACACCGATCCAGATATAGTTCCTTGTTTAAAAAACTGGGAATCACTAGCTCAATTTTCAAAGTGATATAGCTTTAACATCAGAGAAATGTCTTACAGCAGTGGAAGAAATGAGTATACAACACAAATATGTGCTTTTGGAAGTTGTTTTTTTCACATAGGAAAATACGATGAAAGTTTCCGAGTCTCTGAGAGGTGGAAAAAAATTTAAAGGAAAGAAAATCAGTATAACATATATAAGCATTACCAAGCTTCTTTTTCTGACTTGTTTCAAAGAGATCTTCTACCCATGTACTATGTATAAACTGGCTGAATATTGCCCTTGCAAACTGAATTCCCAGTTTTCTGGGAATTCCTAGGAATTCTCAAAAATTCCCAATAATGCATATAACCCTTGCCAACTTAATTCCCAGTTTTCTGGGAATTCTTTGGAATTCATTCAGATTTCAATGTGCAGAATCAACAAAAACAAAAAATAAAACATGAAGGTGTTGCTTGACAGCTTACATTTGAATGTTCACACACAAGAGATTTATCCAAATAAGTTACAATCACATAATGTCAAGTCAAAGCTTGTCTCTGAGAGTGAAAGGGTTAAATACCATTTGTATCATCATCCAAAATTTAATGATTCATTTTAAGACTATTCTTAGACAGACTATTTATTGCAATAAATATAATTTAAGATATTGTATTTTATGGAGAAGAATCAGCAGATTTTATTCACAATTTGTGTCAAACCAAATTTAATAATTGATTAGGACTACTTTACAAGAATAGCTGTAATTGAGGACTAATTCATATGAAGTTTTCAAGCAAAGAAAAATAAATCAAATTTCATTCTTATATTACTACATGTTGATGTTAATATACAATCAAAAATATTTTACACGTTAACCTTAATTAAGCTTGCAAATAAATTTCATTGAATACTAGAATTTTAGCTGGGATTTTTGAATTTTTTGTATTCATTTTATATTAGTAGCCTCAAATTTTTGCTTAAAATTCCCAGTAATTCTCAAACATTTATAGAAATTCCTGAAAATTCCTAGAAATTCCTAGGAATTTTTCAGATTTACAGCTTTTCAAGGAAAGTCATTGGTGCTCTGAGTTGGAATTCCAAGCATTTTTAGAACCAAAGTTGTTATAGTTGGGAATTCCTTGAAATTCCTGTTGTTATTATGCATATTTGACCGTTATTAAATTTAATTTTGTTTCACAGGAATTATTAATTTAATTTATCCTTTTGTTATTCAAGCTCTTTTTTTTTAATTAGCATATATATATTTATGTATTTTTTTCTCCTTCCTATGTTGTAATGATTTTTGTGTGAGCAGAATAAAGGTTGTAAATTCAACAATTCCCAGTCTGAATTTACCGTAAAAATTCACACCTCTTATTCCCAGGAATTCCAAAATCCATTTCGCAGGAGTAGTCTTTTCACTAAACTAATGTACCAGTTGTGGCATGGATACTATGACTTAGTCATGGCTAAGAGGATTATATCTTTATTAAGTCATGAGGCATTAACTTCTCCACACTTTTTAATCACACAGACTTAAAGTATCAGCTGACAAGTTTCCATTGTAATTAACACCCTTTTTGTATTTTCTCCCCTTTTCATGATCATATTTTCATTATACCTACAGGTTTTTCAAGGATACAAGTAATCCCTTATCACACCAAATGATTGCTTCTTCAAATCTCTTCAGTTCAACACAGGCAGTGGCTCCTGTGGGCAACAACACAAACAAGCATGTGATGACTATAGCTGACAATTTCAAGAAAGGAACCAGAAACCTGATTGAAAGCTAAGTTGTTACAGACCAGAAGAAAAAAACAAAACAAAAGAAAAAAACTAAATGGAAAAGAATAAACAGGCCCTATTAGGTTTCAGTTAGATTAGCTTTTGATAATTGAAACTTCTTAACCCTTTAAATCCCAAGATGTGATTATTAATTCTCCCCTCTAGCTGCTACACATTTCCTTCTAAAACATTTGTGAGAATTTGGTGTTAGGTCAAATCAAGACCTGTTTGCCAGATGATGTATGGATATAATAGGGAGAAGATACACGCTAATCACCTCTGAGATTTAAAGGGTTAAAGAACATTTTATAGGGACTGACAATTCCCATAAAATCACTAAGATATGCCAGGCAAAAACAGACAAATGAGACCCCTTTTTTCTCAAAATTTTTTAAATGGTAAATTTTTTAATTAATTTTAAATTATTTTAATTAACCTTTTTGGACCTAGGTTAAATTTCAACTTCAATCAAAATGCAACGCAAAATTTTATTTGATATTCAAATACTAGTTACCCTTTAGTTTGAGTTACATGAACATATTTGATTAAATCAATCAGTCAATGATCGATTCCTAGGAAGTGACCCAAACTGAGGTTTGAAGTTCACCAAGAATAAGATTTAATTAATATACATGCTGTCTCTTTAGCTACATTATAATATTACATGTATTCTAGCACTTGAAGTTGAGTTATACTTGATGAAAGAAGAAAGTTTCCTTACAATTTTGCATAAAGTTCTTACTTCTTTCTAGAATAGCTAGATGGTGACTAAATATATATGAAACCACCACCTCACTCATTGAGCAAAAGGAAACTAAAATACTCATGCTGAAATTTTCTCTGCATTTAGCAATGAGTTCTTCATCCAACTCAAAATAATATTCTCATCATAATGGAAAGTCATGGCATAGTTAAGTCAAGAGCTAGATTCAAATGTAAATCAAGTTACGTGGTCTCCACCTCTTAATTAAAGTCAATTGAGACCAGATTTAACTTCATCTATCCTTAAAGTGATGAGTTCCTTTTTTTATAGCACAGCTAGCTTTAATAAAATTACTATCTAACCTCTCACAATTGCCTTAAGGAAGGTTGGATTTAACTCAATGGCTGCTTCTGCATCTCTTCTTGAATCCTGGTGATTTCCTGTTTTGAAAATAAACATCTCTGATTAACTGTGCATATGGCAAACCCTGACCACCTTTACATTAATTTTTGGAAAAACTTGTGATGCTCATTAATATCTGGGGTAAGAGGTTACTTCTTTTTATGACTGAGAGGCCAATATTAGGCATACATTTTTCCAGAGAATTTCTCTTTGGGCACACATTCAAAATTTATTATCTCAGGCTTTCTCAGAAAAACACTACTGACAGTCCTAAGCTTCAAAAGAGAAAAAAATGCATATTAAAGCTCTCATCTGATCTTACCAAGTTTAAAATGTGCTATAGCCCTGTTGTTGTACAGTTTGGCCTTCAGTTCTTTCTCATTGCAGTTCATTTTAATTCCTTTGGTGTAAAAATGAATAGCATTGATGAAATCTCCTTTCCTAAAGTCCTCATTACCCTGATTCCTACAAACATCAGCTGTGGCTGCAGAGAAAAAACGAAAAGTCATTTGTGTCAAAGTCTGTTGGTGGAGTGTATAAGCAGAGCTCACGCCAAGACCTGGAGATTTAAGAATAAGTGTAAAAGAGTCCACTCCTTTGATTACATTTTCATAGTTAATGAGTCAGTTAATAAGATCAAAATGTTTCAATCATAAAAACCAAAAGCAATATCACTTATAATATAGAGAAATAGTTATTATTTAAAATAATAATAAGAATAATGATGAAGAAGATGAGATTAGTAGTTATGATGATGCTAATGATGTGGGTGACAACAGTCAGGTAATAATGATGATGAGAATTAAGTGTCACTCAATTTGAAGCAAACCCCTTGGCAATTAAACTTTTGGAAATTGGTTTCCTGAAATTCCTATCCCCCCAGGAAAAATATGTGACCAAGTTCCCCACCTAATTTTTATAATCAGCAAAATAATTAGCAACCTGACTTTCAATGTATTGACCAAGCTTCAAAACCTAGACCTTGTATACTTTTTCCTCAGTACGCCTTTTGTTAGTGAAAGTGTGCTACCTACCCTAAACACCTCCATATTCAATGATACAATGCTTGCATTCTACTGGAAATTAGTCTTGACACTTCTGTTTCAAATTCCCCAATGCCAGTCAGCCAAGGTTCAATTCCCTCCCCCCCCCTCCTTGGCTTTACTTATAAGAGTATAACCTTATGTGCTTTGCACTCTTTAAAAAGAAAATAACAAAGATTTCTGTGTCATAGATCCTCTAAACAAACAGCATATTGCAATCAGAGAGGAGAGTCATGACTGGCCAAAATATAATTTACAGTTGTCATACAGTGTACATCCTTCTCCACATCTGCTTACATTCTTGAAACTGATGAAATAGAAATCGTTTCAACAATAACTGAAGCTGAAGTTGAACACAGCTCACCTCGTAAAGTGTCCTCATCAAAATCAGGTGCATTTTCTTTGTCAGGTAAGTCTTCATTTTCACATGGCATTTTAATTGGACTTCTTGCTGAAGCCATAGCAACTGTAAGAAGATGCTTCTTACAAAAAGTTGCTGTTTTCAGTTATCCTAGCCTGAAAAAAAGATGGTTGCAAATGGTAACAAACATCAGCTCAACATTTTACCCAGTTGCAAAATAATTATTTTTTCCCTTCTGAGAATAGGGAGCACATACATAGACCACAAAATCATAAGTAATTAACAGTAATAGAATACTAAAAGTAGCAAAAGAACAAAAGATATATAAACTGAAGAAAACAAGCATTTGTTTTTAAATGAACAGTAATTCACTTCTAATAAAATACATTGGTGATTGACTGACATTATAAATTGGGCAAACATCAGCACCTTTGTGTTGCACGTTCATTTAATTTGTTACAGAAGCAATTTAAATTATTTAAACTAAGAGGCTGTAGGTAGTTGATTAAAGTCTGTAATTGAGCAGTGGCCCATCCAGGCCCTGAGTTTATAATCCTGGATTCCTCGCAGGAAGCAACTGGGAGTGACTACCCAACCCCCCTGGAGAGTTACCACTCCATCCCATGGTTAGCCACCCCCTCTTCCCCCCCTTCCCCCCTATGGCATTTCATCAAACTTCCCTGACTTATTTCTACCACCCATTTATACTTCTAGGTGGAGAGGGACTCTGTGGAAGAAAAGTGTTTTGCACAAGAACAGAACAGCATAGACCTGGCCAGGTTGCAAATGCAGACCTCTTGACCCTGAGTCTAGCACAGTCCAGGTTACAAATACAGACCTCTTAATGCTGAGTCCACCTCACTAATCATATGCAAGACCTCACTAATCATATGCAAGACAAGAGGGGAGAGTTTATGCTGAATCCTCTCTCATAAGAAACAAATTTTACAAAACCAAAATAAAATTCTCTTATTTGATCTTTTAATAGAGATTTCTGGTCAAAACTTACGAAAAATGTTATATGTCTTTTATTCAATTTCCTTCCGGTCAACTGACACCCATATTCATAAAGATGGGTATTAGTTCAACTGTTGCACTTATTATAGGAAAAATTTTAACAGTGAAGTATATGCACTTAAGTGTGCTGATGTAAGTTGAAGTGGATCTTAATACTGTACAAGTGTTGAAATTTGTGACCATAGCATGCAATCTGTGACGAAGGGCTTACGCTCGAAATGTCAGCCTTCACACTCTTTACGGTGTCTCAAATTTACCTCAAGACTACCTAGCCATGTAATAACATAAATTGTTATATACCTAGATTTTCACTCAACAAAAAGAGCACTGTAATTGGTTGATTATTGGCCATGTGCCCCTGACCAAATTCAAATGTATCCTGACTGAGATATAACTGCGCAGTTGTTGCCTGTGCACCAAATACAACAGCACCTGACTGTTTAAGGGAAATTCTACATATATTATAACAAAGCATTTAATATATAGTCCCTCAAGAAACTAGTTAGTTTTGTTTTCCTGAGAGTCCTGATGTTTCCCAAAAAACATCAGAACTCTTGGGAAAACAAAACTAACTGTTTCCTCGGGATCATATATTTACTTTATTACAAGTTGATAAATTGGATTCCTAAATATCGAATGCAGTTAATTGAAAGGACGCTTGCAATAAATTCCTAGCCGATATTTGAAGAAAAATCAAATTGTCTTAATATTCAACAAGGAAATCAGTAGAACAGTACAGTTTGACAGGAGAATCTAAACAGTCTATCAAAAGAAAAGATAAACCAACAATAAAATAATGAACAAAACACATGAAATTTTGATCAAATGCATCGTAAATACGGGAGCAAATTAAGTTAATCATATAATTAAGCCCGACATGAAAGCTAGTGCAATTAACATGATTGTGTGCGTGCTCCACATCACACGCAAACGAAACTGAAAGTGTTTCGATCATCAGCCGGGCCCTTGCACTACATCAAATCGATAATTTGCATATTCCTTCTAACTCTCCCGAATGGCTTATTTTTCCCAAGGTAAATGCCAGAAATTGCCAGCGAATTTTTGCGAATTCGACAGTTGTAACTTGTTCATGTAAGCTTAGCTTAATTACTTTTTAAGTAACACGAAGCGGCAAATACAATTAAATCACGCCAGAATCAAGTAAAAGTTAGCAATCCACGTCAGTTAACTGCAGGAACGTCTTTCATTGCCGGAAATCAGAGAAAATTAGGACAGATTAAAACAATCGAAGGAGAAAACACGAAATAAAAGTATTTACCTTACATTCGAAAATCTGATACAACTATGTGTTCCTACCTCTGTCGCGGAAATGGAAGGCATGTTTGGCTGTTTAACGACCTTGCTGTAACAAGCCAGAACGGGCAATGTAGAAGAGAACACAAAACCAAGATGTCGGACCAACAAGATATATATTTAATAAAAGAAAACCGATGTGGTCAGCGGACCACGAGGTCGTGACAATGTCACGCAATATTGTTACACTTGCTTCCTCAATCCGTCATGGCAATGTTTCAAAGAAAGTCTTTAAGACTCGAAAGCTATGTTATAGAACGAAGAATCTCAAAAGCATCTTGTGCAAATGAAAGGGGGAGTTCCCTGGCCCATAAGTCCGTGTAAGCTTGAAGCCGGAAGTGCTTTAGCTGAAATTGCAAAATGTCTATATACATAAAAATTAATTATTTCTAGTGCGCTTCTCGCGTTCTTCTAAAGTCCAGTACATTATTACATCTCACTTTTACATGTTCTCAATAGCACTCTTAACATAGGACATGAGAGGTAAGTCTTTAAAATATTAGAGACAAATTCCTTGCGGAATATAATCCATCCCATAAAAAAGTTTTCTGCAGCGTAAACACAGACTGTTATTTTTCGTACTCTCATTTTCTGATTGCATACCCTTTAGAGGACTTTAGAGCCCGGAGGGTTTGTGGCACTGTGCTAGTTCAGGAGATACGTTTCCAGTTTTTTTTTCTTTAACTTAAAGGAGTTTTTTTTTATTTTCTTTATCTGGTGGTGACATAGCTGAGCATTTTTAAGAGTTGTACCGTATTTTGACTAGCCCTATGGGCTCGTCAAAAAGGGAGTGAAAATATTAAGCAGTACTACAGACCAAAAAGGCTAAAAAGTTAGTTATTATTAAACTACTTTTTTTTTTTAATATTTCTGCCAGTTATTTCTGCTCATTTCTCATTGGGCGGGAAAAGTCAAGCGGATGGAGAAGTGCGTAGCCAACCGTTTAAACAGGTTTTTTTTACAGGCAAAAAATATATACACTTTCGAAAAATGGGGTTAAAAGAAAAAAGCAGCATTAGAGGCGATGAGATCCATCCCTTCTAATGGCGAGGAATACAGCCAATACACAAAATGCAAAAAAGAAAGAAATCTTTCGTATCATTGGCATTGAAAGCGGACGCCAGACTGAATTGACATTGTAGTGGTATGGGATTACGTCCTTGAAGTGATAGTGGATTAATTGTAACCAATCCATGAAGCTGTCAATAAACTGTCGATTAGACGTATGATTGTGATCTGCGATCACAGTTCACCAACAAGTCTTGCACAAAGTACAGCACAGTTATGAAAGGTAATGAAACGGAAGGTAGGGTAACCTCCTTTCTGTTTCACCTTTGTGGAAGGGGTGCGGCTACACGTAGGCTATCTGAATAGCTTCGTTAACAACATGGAACTTCATCACAGTACAGAGTAACCTTAGCTTTAAATGGTAATCGTCAAGGGTCCCAAAGGTGTCCGCCTAATAGAGGTTTCCCTGTATACGTGACCAGCGAACTTTTTCTTTCATTACATGAAAAGCTCAAGATTTCCCTGAAAACTTGCACACAAGAGGAGAGATTCGAAGTTTTTCCTTTAATTTACGTGACGCATGAATTGTTCTTTCACCATGCATGAATTAATCAAGACTCCCCTCCCCTTTAAACATTAAACATTCAGACCCGTGAAAAAAAAATGCCCACCAAATTTCAGCAGTATGAAAATGAACTCTCATCACTAGATGTTTCTTGCAACCAGAAAAAGGATTGTATTTCGATTGCGAAGCAGTCATGCATGGTCGGTCGAAAAAAATATCTTTGGATTGATGTGGTCAATTTTAGACGGTCATTTCTCCGACAAATTGAGCTGCAATTACTTGAACTTTTCAATACGTGCTGGAGAGATAACAATTTTTGTTACCATTGGGATGAAACTGAAATCTTGCATATCCGGCGTTTCGAAGAAAAAATTGCGTGATTCTACGGTGACCTTTTGTGCGACTTTAGTAACATGATTATGCCCCAAAAGAGAAAGCGTTCAACACTCATCATCTCATATTCTCAGTCGAATCATGGACAATGGCCGATCTCGATCACTTCTTCACGGTAGAAAAAGCTCTAAATCTCGAGGTTATTCGACTTTCGATCCTGGAGGATCAATTGACAGAGGAATTATAGCCAGCGAAGATCCCGAGAGAAGTTCTAAGAGGAACAATCCAAGGGCTACAACTATTGAAGAAGAAAGGGAAAGTCTTTCAATTTCGTGGGAAAATATCGATGTATTTGTTGAGCAACCCGGGCCATCTTTCTTGAAACGTTTGTGTTTTGGAACAGGAGACAACGAGAGACCGACTACTAAACAAATTCTTTTTAATGGTGAGTGATTTTTTTAGCCGGTTATTAGCTTATGCCCTCATATCAATCGTTCCAAAGGAGACTGGACAAATGGTATTCAAATGTCATTCAAATGTCAAATTCAATTTACCTCAGAGTGATTTTTCCGCTTACGCACGCTTCATCTTTATTGAAACTGAGATAAATTGAGCTTGCTTTTCAAAATGTGCCATATAATGAAGAATTTGTATTTTTTTGCTTAGCTCTAAAGAAAAGTTATAAACGTGACTTGAGCACATAAGCTTTGTTTGGCTTAATCCCATGGCCCCGATTGTTCGAAGGGGAAATAACGCTATCCACTTTATCTCTATCCAGTGTATAGTGCAGTACATTTCGTTAGCATTATCCGTTGGATAGTGTTATCTCCGAACAACTGGGACTTGACAGATAAGCGTTAAGCGCTAGTTTGTCTGCGCAAAACTTATCCCAATAAAACTTTAACGAGCGACAAATTGATCCTCTCTGGTAAACTAAAATTAAATTTATTTCACTCGAAGAAGTTTGAAAGCTTCAACGAGGAACTGACCTATGCCTCTTAGATGTTTGATTGATTACAAAATAAGCTGTGAAAACACATGCTATACTGTGGTAGTACAGTTTTAATGTTCGGGAAGGAGACCAAACACAAGTAAATCTTTTTCAAAGGAAATTTTTTCGTACATGCATAACACCAAATTTTAAGGAATGGCAATAGATTCAATCAGATTTTTTGAGTGAAAGGCTAACAAGAGACTGGAGGTTCCGTGAAAAAGTTATTTTTCGAACGTGAGTCTCATTAGAAGATCGCTCTTATTATTTTAAAATTTGTTTCAGGCGGAACTGAGATGTATGCCCCTTGTGGATTTGAATTGTTTTTGAGTAGTCGAGCAATTCTTAGAAATATTGAAGTCCTTAGGAAGTTGACACTTTCCGGGTATTATTGCGGAAATCACGTAATTTTGCGGATTAATATTTTTAAGTCAAGGCCGGCGACGAAAGTGAAAAAAGATATTTCACTTATCTGAAATTTCTTTTTTTCTGCCGATTTTTGGTAACCGACTTTTGATTGTTCTACTTTGCAGTGAGCGGCAATGTCGAAGCTGGTACTTTGTTGGCTGTTATGGGATCAAGGTAATAAAAAGATTATAGACTTGGTAATTAATGTAGATCCTTAGTTTTAAAACGTGACCAGTGTCACGAACGGGTGAGATGAAGTTAAATGTTGTCTTCCGAATCAATCAATCAATCATACAATTGACTTCATTTTAAGAGCTAATGTCAGCAGGCATCAAACAAACAGCGGCAAGTCACCCAAATGTGATTTCACTCCTACTTTCATATTTTGTAGCCCAATATGTTCTAATAATTGTGGTGTAGTTTTTTTGTGAAAATATATTTTAGTTTTCGAAGAATGACTTTTTTCGTTCGACCGCTCACATATTCAAATTTTCACCGTGGATATTACCCAAGTTGTGTGACCTCGTGTAACGAATGTACTAGACCTATTTACAAATTGTAGTGATTTATGCCAATTAACGGTGGCGACAAGTAGGCGCACCATGTATATTTCATAGTCGCTATCAAGTAAATTTTGCCGGACTTCGAGTTTGTCTCAAGATGGAGCAACACAAATACACAAGGAAATTTTTACAGTAACTTTATAACCATCCTTTGGTCTTTAAAAAGCTTGAAGCTCAGTAGATTTTGTCACATCGGTCATTGTTAAAACTGTCTTTGTTTTGATGCTACTTTTCGACATTGGAAAAGTATGTCGGACAAAAATATTCACCAAAAAATAGATATTTCTTTGCCAGCTTCAATAACGACAGGGGATTAAGTTTAGATGATAAAACAAAGGATTATGTTCACAGAAATACCGTGGGTCTAGTACAGTCGTTACATGAGGTCACACAACCCGGGTAATATTCACGGTGAAAATTTGCATATTTGAGCGGTCGAACGAAAAAGTCATTTCTCGAAAACTAAAATATATTTTCACAAAAAAACTACGCCACAATTATAAGAACATATTGGGCTACAAAATATGAAAGTAGGAGAGAAAAAGAATTTTGGGCGACTTGCCACAATATTTCAAATTTGTTCGATGGATGCTGACATCCTCTCTTAAGCGGGGAGCACGTGACAGTAGTGAAACTGATGACCCTGAGTCCTTCTGTAAGAAGAAGCTTAAAATATAAAAATGGACGATGATCTATACTTGAAATATTACATACTGAAAAATGAAATCATAAAAATAACTATAGGTTAGTAATCGGAATCGTACCTAAAGTGTTAGTTTCTTTCTGTCTTTCTAAAGGGGTGTTTATCAATTGCTTTTTGAAACTTTTTGTGTCCTTAGAGATTTTGAGCTCTTTATTTAGGCTATACCAGCTAGTGTTTAATCGATCTATAACCGGGAATGATCGCCTCCCTTCAGTAGAATTGTTGTAGCGGCAGCGTAGGTTTAATTTGCCAAAGCGTGTACTTCTGAAGAGAAAATCAGAATTTTATTGAAGCATAGACTTCAGGTGTTCAAGTGTTTTTCCAAGCGTTCTTTTGAGAGTTATTGAGCATCTGTTGATGTGTGTGTCTTGATATAGACGAGAAGCCAGTTTGACGTGCCGGGAACAAAAGCAGTGAGCGTGAGCGTGAGCGTGGTCCCACGCCCAAGATGATCCTTGCAGCTCTTTTGCTGTAGTCTAAAAATGATGTTTAGGTTTTGATTAGATGTTGATGTCCAAATACCAGTGCCATAAAGGAGAGCTGTTTTGATGATAGTATTGGAATACATTTTCTTATGGTTTCTCTCATGGACTGATATGTTTCAACAGACCAATTCTATTTATCACCTTGTTAGCTAGAGCATTACAGTGACTTTCGAAAGTTTAGTCATCATCAATCTGTACCCCGTGGAATTTGTGTGATCTAACTCTTTATATGATCTTTCAATCTGTGAGTCGTTCAAGGCAATGGTCAAATCATTATCTTGATGTTGGTCTTGAATCATGCGTTTTCCGAATCGCTTACCGATGATAAGCATAGATTTTGTTTCCTTTTTACAATCACCATTTTGTTCATAATCGCTCAACGCTGAATGTTATCTAAGTCCCCTTGAATATCAGTGGCAATGCAATCACAAGTCATATCATGGAGAAAATCAAAACAACGAAAAGCATCAGGTGTTCTATAAGTTTCCTTGTCAGCCATTTTTTTTTTTGGCATTCGTATGGATCTCAACCTTCAGGGGATTTGCATTTTTTTGAAAAAACGCCCAAAAAAAAAAATAGTCACTGAATCCCCTCCCTACCCTTCCCTCCTTCCCACCTTCCCCCTTACCCTTAAGAACAAATCGTGGTCAGCGGCTAATATGTCAAAACCTTCCGATAGTCAAAGTTATTACACGTTTATTTTCCAAATATAGCGGAGCTGGGAAGTCCACCTTGATGAATGTATTAGCTCATCGTAACATCGGCCAGATGGAAGTGAGGGGGACTGTGGAAGTCAACGACCGCCCAATTGGAGCCGAAATCAACACCAAGTCTGCTTACATTCAACAAGAGGATATCTTCATTGGATCTCTGACTGTCCGAGAACATTTGACGTTTCAGGTAGATTACTTATGTTATTTGTTTACGAGCAGGCTTGCCTAAACAACAGACTGATTGCCTGACTAATAAAGGGCGGGTAAGTTTCTAATGAAACAGTGGCGCAGCATTAATGAGGGATATTACAGGGTGATTTAGTTTTATCAGCTTAGTCGATAATGTAACTTCTAAAACTGACGTTCTGAGTATTAGCCCCTCTACAGAGCGACTGACTCAATTTTTGACCGAATGACTAAGCGGCTCACTCTGATTTTGGCAACTGACATATTGCCTAATGAACTGACTGAGTGAATGACTTCGGACGAACGAGAAGGAAAGAAAAACGGACGCATGGAACAAAACACTATGCAATACTGGCCAGCTTTCATTCAGAGATTTCTTTTTTATGCAATCTCTCCACGCTTTTTTTAAAAACAGATTATAACGAAACCAAGTAAATAAAGAAAAAACAATTTAAATGAGGATTGTGGTGAAGAACTTGCAGTATTTCAAGTAATTTGTTCTCATTGATCTTTTTAGGCCTTTTTGCGCATGGAAAAGTACATTCCTAAAGAGCAGCGGATTGAACGTGTCGAGGAAGTGATACTTCAGGTATGGCGCATCTGAAATGAGTAAGAATGAAGCGCGTTTTAAAATAATTGTTGAATTCGGATTGAATTTAAAATCTGTTTCTTCAAAGCTTGGGCTATCAAAGTGCGCTGATACTTACATAGGAATTCCGGGACGGCTGCGAGGGATCTCGGGAGGAGAAAAGAAGAGACTGTCATTCGCCTCGGAGGTAGGTACTCTAGCCGAAGTTCCCATACTGTCGGAAATTACAGCTGCTTTTTTAAGTATAAATAAGTGTGTTCTCTCTCTCTCTGTACCTGTTATGCAAGTAAATCACAGGTACAGTAAAGGTAACCCCACTGCTCCCTCCCCCTCTTGCATATCACCGATACCCATATATACTCTTGGATAAATTGAGCCCTTGTGGGCGGAAAGTGGCTCTCCTCAATACAACATCAGAACGATTCGGCCAGAGCTAAAACCCGAAACCAATCCCGATTCCCAACACGAACCCAAAATGTGTGAAACATCCCCTTTGCTAGCTGAAAAGTAAAAAAAACCCACTTTTTCAACAGATTATAACAGACCCTCCATTGCTGTTTGCTGATGAACCCACCTCAGGGCTTGATTCATTCCTGGCCCAGAGTCTGATAACAGCTTTGCAGCAGCTTGCAGCTCAGGGAAGGACAATTATCTGCACAATTCATCAACCATCCTCTGAAGTTTACGCCATGTTTGACAGGTAGTCAATCACCTTTTTGACGTATTGATACCACTTGCACAAAAGCACCATTTGAATACCTATATGGGTTGAAATAATCTGTTAGTAGAATGGACACCATAACCACATCATGAATGACAAAAAAAGAGACGAAAGAGTTGAAGAAATTGCGAACCTTTTTCTCCGCCAAATAATTTTTCTCCACCAGATAACAAGCACTTTTTACTCCGCAGAGAGAGAATGTTACGTAGCCGCAACTATAATTAAATTTTTCCTTATTTCAGGACTGATCGTTATGTGAGAACTTTTATCAATACGTACTTATTTGGACTTTATTATCACAACAGTTCCTGTCAAGTTTTCCTTTTTTGTAAACCTTGTGCGTTTGTTGCAGGTAGTGCTTTTGTATCATGAAGTAAGACAATGTCAGCAGCCAAGTTAGAGGCCATAAACATCTGTTCTTACGATGATTAATCAAGAAAGTTCTTTTTCTTTTTTTTTATTAGTATCTTGCTGTTGGCAGAAGGAAGAACAGCTTACATGGGCTCAAGAGCTGACGTGATCCAGTATTTTGAAGAGTAAGTTTTCCTTAAAAATAAAGAAATGTCATTGAAAAGATGCATTTTCATCATAGATTTCTTTGTTACCGCTGCACTGGATTTCATGATGATCGGGAGGCAATTACATGAAGGTTTTTCTTTCTTGAGCAGTGCTGATGGACAGTCTTGATCAGCCCCTTGTTCAAAGACTGACATTACTGATTTTTGTAACGATGAGGACACTACTTCGGGCTAAAACTTTTCAAGTTGGTTGGTGTTCATGAATACTAACTCGTCATTATCGCGAAAAGAACTTCTATTTCTGATTCATATGATACTGCTTGGTTTAAACGCGTCATGTGACCGAATATGCACACTATGAACGCGCCAAATTTAGGATCATTGACAATCAGGTATTAAGCTCGACATATCTATTGGTCATCACGTATAGAAATCGAGAGCGAATAATCTAATTGCTTTAATATAAATCTACCTGTCTTTTAAAACTTAGCTACAAGCCAGAGGTTCCTGTTTTTGTGTGTTTACAATCACACAATATTTAATTTGTGATAATTGCAATTAGGATTAATTACTATTGTTCAGGCACGTTTATTAGCCGTTGTCTTCTGGTGTATATCATGTTGTTCATGGGATACCCTTAAAAAACCCCGAAGGTGCCACCAGTGCCTTGGTTGGGGGTACACGTTCCCCGTTTCTTTTTCCCAGCTGCTGGTTTTCAGGGGTTTTCGTGTCCAGTTTTGGTGCATTTAGTTTCCTTCAATCGTATTAAACATTTTTAAGCACGTTGGTGTTGAATAAACGGCACGGCTGCTTGGCTGGCCAACGCGCCCAGATGTCAACACTTTGTGCGCCCGTTTGAATTGTGGATGCAAATTGTTTGGTTATTCATTTTGCTTACTATTTACTACGGACTAGATAACGAGTGGATTAGCTAATCAGATTGCAGCATTTGCAAGTAAACGCGAGTAGATTTATACTAATCAGCTCTACAACTATCAGGTTCATATCTTTTTTTGTTATCACCAACATAACGGTGTTGTTTTATTTGTACAGTTTGGGTTATCCTTGTCCAATCAATTTTAATCCTGCTGATCACTTCATTCACACGCTCGCCATCGTGCCTGGTGATGAGGAAAACTGTCTCACCAGGGTCAAGGTTAGAGAACATAGTCTTTTCCTTTACTTCTAATAGTTAGATATGACGAATTTAGAGTGAAGGTTTGAATTTGTGCAAAAACCCAAAATGGTGCACCCGCCACCTTGCGACGTCTTTTGGCGAGAACAAAGGCTAGTATACTTATAATCTCATTTACGGATCACTTAAACATCTCACTGCCTCCCAGGTCCATTAGTAATTCTCCTTACTGTCTGCCATACAATTCTTATGATATTAATTTAGAGAATTTGGTATTGGATCAACTAATAATCCCCTAATTGATATTTTCTTTATTCTAATCACTTTTTCGCTCTATGATGTGATGATACTGTAAGGAGAAATTCTGTCTTGGTCACTCGTAAGAGTTAAAGGGTTAAAAGCATCCACAAATTACAATTCTGCATTGACATAGGAAAGGGTTAGGGGTCTCAATATTTTGTTAGTCTTACACAATTCTTTTTGTTGCATTTTTTTCTTTGTTTTTCTTTTTGTTGTTTTTCAACAAAAAGAACGTTCCTTTTTCATTCACAAAATATCTCCTATTGAACATTTATTACAATACATTCGTGTCTACCAATTTTGAATGTTGTTCAGGAAATCTGCGATGCGTACAGGGAAAATAACACTGAATCAATTTCTTCAGAATCCTTGGGAAAACAAGTAAGTGCAATAAAATAGAAAATTGACAATCAATTAGTTAAATAATAAATAACATCTACTGATAAAAAAAGAGACTCGTTATTACTTTTCAGTCGGCACACGAACCTTTCATCCAGATTATTTCGTGACCCTTACAGCCACATTCACTACGGTAACCGTAAAAAAAAATACAGTGTTTAAAGACCAAAAACATCACCACAAAATACAGGAGAGTATTGTTTCTGTAATATATGTATTGCAATGCTCTACCAGGTCAAATATGGTCAACAGGGCTAATACATTTTCCCAGTCTTCTTACATGACCGGCGTTGCTTCATTTGTGACTTGAAATGGCATGTTCTTTTTTTCTAGGATTCTTTCAAAGATGAAGTTTACAGACGTTCACCGTAAGATTTCTCTCTACGTTTAACTATGTAATATTCACTGGCACGATTACAGCTTTTAGACCCATTATCTTTCCTCATACTGATGTTACCGGTGCGCACGACTCGTGTCTGCATCAGTGTAGCACTAGTTGAGCAGCGCAATGGAGGGGAGGGGGGGGGGGGGAAGGAGAGGAAGAGGTGGGAGGGGGTATCCCTGGTTGCTCGTCGGCTCCCTTTTAATTATCAAGGAGTTAAGTAAGTACTCATAATGACAATATGACATGTATAGAAAACATCTTTTGTTTTCAGATTTCAAACTACAATTATTCTCTTTCTCTCTCCCCCCCCCCCATGTAGTCTGACGTGGACATTTGTCGCGTACTTTTGTTTTTTTTTGTTTTGACGGAGTCTACATAGTTGTTTTTGAGCTCTCGTTCATGCAGATTTGTTACCCCATTTTTTGGAATTTTAAGAAGTTCCAGAGTATTTCAGCCAAATGTTGTGGCTCATTTAAGAAGTTTAATGCATATTCTCTACGGAGTTTCTATTTTCTACTAGCCTCTATTTTCGTGATGGGTTTTTACAACCTTTTTAATTTGAAAAAAACTTACGCCTTTGTGACTTCTTATAACTCAGCTAAAGCATCTTTGTACATTAAATTACGAATTCTGTTAGAGCCCAAGTTTTGCCTCTTTTACATACACTCGTGATATCGTAGGCAACCGTTGTTTGAAAAGCTTTCTTTCGTAACAAGAACAACGAACGGTTCAAAACTAGAGGTAACGTAACACAAAACATGTCTATTTTCGTCTAATCTGCTGTAAAATGAATTCCACGCGCTGAATTCAGTATTTTTTGGGGTTTACACGTGCAGACTATCAGAAAATCATTGCTTGAGTCTTAGGTCATATTTTGCTTTATTTCCCATATAGGTACAAAGCATCTTGGTGTCAGCAATTTCGCTCTGTATTTTGGAGATCCTGGTTAACCAATAATAGAGATGTCATGATTTTTAGAATCAGACTTTACCAAAGTGTAGTAAGTAACGTTGGCTGAAGACTAACTTATGGGTTGGGTGCATTTAAAGCAATTCCGAGAGATAAGGTCTGAAAACAGATTTAAGGCTCTGTACGTTCCTTTACGCAATTGCTTTAGTTGCAGTTTTTCGTGCATATTAAGTGTCCCTTCTACATTCAAGAGCCATGATTTAATATTCATAATGTAATTCGAGAAAAAAAGAGAGCGACAAGTTTCAAGAAAAATCTGCGAAGTTGTCTTATTTTATTTTGAAAATAGCGTTTAAGTTGTATTGCAACTCATCATCCTGCATGCTTGATTGCACGACCTGATGATCCTGAAGTATACAAGGGTTATGGTGCCACTTTTGCTTTAACTGGCATCCTGAATTAAGACCGTTTTTATAAGAAAACAGTTGTTTAAGCATCAAAATGGCAGCGTAATATGTTTGTTCAAGAATATAAAAGTTTAGAGCAGTTTAATTGACATCGGAAGGTAGAAATAAAATGATTACCGTGCCGTGCAAATTTTTTTTTTCGTTGACATTTATAACTAAATAGATTAATGGAAAGTTTTATTAATAATTTAGCTCAAAATGATAGGCTTGTTCTATTAATCATTGCACATGTGCAGTCTCAGGAAAGATTACAAACATTTAACAAGGATACTGTTTTTCGATTTAGTTTCACTAAGAACAATCTTTTCTATTAAAATCAAAGCTTGATGACTGAGTAAATATATATTGTGAAATGATCTGCTTTGTTATAATTTCTTTCTGTTTTCTGTGTGTATCTTTTCTATTTTTTTCTCTTTGTTTAGTTCGTAGGTCTTTTAGCAGGGATTATCTACTTCCAAACCAAGATTAATCAATCTGGTATCATCAACATCGCTGGAGCGATTTTCTTTCTGATAACTTCCACGACGTTTAATAACATGGGATCAGTTATCTTTGTGAGTATCCGGGCCTTCATCATATTAGGTTAAAGAAACTACTATCACGGTTGCACATCCGGGCAATCTCATCTCGATTTCAAGATAGCCACTAAGAAACAGCGAGCATCTCCATGTTATTTTACTGCCTACACTAGCTTGTTATCTCTCACACTTTAATCTTTTCAGGATAACTAATCGTTACACAAGTAATTGGCTTTTATATACAATTGGTTCCTTTTTTTCTTTTAGACGTTCCCGCAAGAGCTTTCTGTGTTCTTACGGGAACACCATAACGGCATGTACCGTTCGGATGTTTACTTCTTGTGCAAGACCACTGCTGAGGTAAGGATGAATAAGGACTCAAAAGGTAAAAGAGATAAAAAATACTTTCGTGATTTTTGATTGGATGAAACACTTTCCTCACGTGTGAGACTTTTGTCCCATGGAGAATGCCTTTGCCGTCACGGTAAAAGACAAAAACAAGATCAAATCAAGAGACCAACCGTTCAGTTTATAATCATCTTGTACTCACCAACTTCTATTTATCTTTAGGCGCCTTTGTTTTTACTTAATCCTCTCTTCTTGATGGCCATCGCGTACTGGATGATAGGTGAGTGAACTTAGGACACGGATGAATGAAGATTTATGTAGGTGAATAAGACAAACGTCCGCCAAACGTTTTTCCAAGTTTCTCTTGTCTCTCGGCCAAATGATTTAATAACATGACCTACTGTAGCATCACTTTCTGTAACTGTTCTTTATTTGGTTTTGATTTTTTTTTCTCAGGTTTGCGTCAACAAATACTCAGGTTTCTCTACGCGTACGGAATCCTGGCTTTGATCAGTATGGTGGCTGTATCTTATGGTTTGTGGTCACTCGTTTCCTTGTGTGTACGAAAGAACAAGTTTTGTTTACATTTCCCTCTCTAGAGCATCAGTGACATTCAAGGATACCAGAATCATTAATCGTATGGTTCGTTTCAGGTTTAAGGTTGCTTTCTCGAATACTAGTGTGTTTGAAGAGCCCTTTATACATGCACAATTCTTTCCAAACAGTGCGACGAGCGGATGTTTCGTCCACGAATCCCAATATGGTGAGAGGATTATTATCTGTTTCATCAGGTACACTGTTAGCAAACTTTATAATTTTTGTTTTCTAGGTTACATGATTTCTACACTTTCCCCGACAGTAGCGACGGCCTCGTCTATCAGTGCACCCTTACTTCTTCCGTTGTTGTTACTAGGAGGCTTCTACGTAAAAAACACGTAAGTGGCGATGGTAATTGAAACCTAACTCAGTGCAGAATAAATACTTTTTGAAGAACCTACCGTTTTGAAATAGGTAAATCCAAAACAGGAAGAGTTTACCCCGCCTTCTAATGGCTCAGGCATGGAACTCCTACTGGCCATTGAGTTTAATCCTTTTGCAGATCCATTCAAGTTCGCTTACAGTTCATTCCACCTTAAATTTGAAAATCTTCATGGGAGACACGGTCACCTAATTCAAAAGTCTCTGAGTTTATTTCCTAGGCGATACCTTTACTCTCACGGTCATTTTCTACATCCAGGAGTACGAGATGCCGGCTAGAGGAATCTTTTGAAATGGTTGGAATTTGAAAGAGTTGGGATGCGGGGGAAGGGGGGAGGTTTACCTGCCATGGTCCACATCCATTCAGGGGTCGTAGCAAAACTTCCAATCGCTTCATGCTATGGGAACCAGAATAAGCCCGGGCCGGTAGGTCCACTTGGCTTTTGCCAAAAGCTACTCTGTGTTAAGGTCATACATCTTCTTCTGTGTTAAGGTTATACATCTTCTTATGGTATGTCGGTTACAACTAGAAGACAAAGATTAAGTTGCTACTTTCTCGTTTTCTTGCTATTTTGACCTGGAGATATTTTCTCCTTTATAGGACGGTGCCAGTATGGCTTTCTTGGTTGCATTATCTTTCATGGTTCAGCTATGGATTTGAGGCTATGCTTGTCAACCAATGGAATGGTTATGGTGATGAAAGTAAGTTTTTACTCTAGTGTAACTCTGAGTATATGCGAATAAGCAATGGCAATGAAACTCGGCAATTGTCGGGTAAAAGTTTTTGTGAACGGCCACAAAAGCTGGATCTTATCCCTGTGTCTGAAGCATGGAGCGGTTTTTATCAGATTGGCCTCAAATCAACCGAGGATCTTGAATTGTTGTCGCTAACACGATTTTGATTCCTACTTTTACAGTTTGTTCTGGGAAAAATAATACAGATTGCATTGGTGGAGAACAAGTTCTTCATGACCTCGGCTTAAAGAAGGTTGGTAAAACATCCACTAATTATTTCATTGCAGTCATAGAACAAGTTGAATAATGGCGACCTTTTCAGTGTAGCTTTGACTCTGCATATCAAGTCTGCTTCAAAACCTTCCTTTAAAATGCCACTTTTCTCCAAAAGAAAATCTCCATTATTCGAGATTTTCTCCTCCATTAACCCAAGTTTTCCATGAATTCAATTGATTTGAACTTAACTAGGAACACTTTCTCGATTAGATATCTGTTTACAAAATGGTGGTTGTGTAGTTTCAGTCAAGAGAAAAAAAATGTTTTTTTTCCTCAGAAAAGGATTTCCACAACGAGTGAAAACACTATGTCAGTCCTTCGAATAAAAAGTCCATATCACACTCCTGGCTATAGCACTTAAGAACAAGCTTTATCTTCCTGGAATTTAGAAAAGAGGGAGCACTGAATATCGTGAAAGCGAAATCAAATCTCCCTATGGAAATCGTCTGTCAAATTTTTTGGAATGTTTTAATCGTTGTTTACCTTTTTCCACAGGATAACGAGGTTATAGACATCTACGCATTATTGGCACTCACCATAGGATTCCGTTTCATTGCGTATCTATTTCTCTTGAAAAAAGCTTACAAGAAACCCTAATCAACAAAATCAACAGACGTGAAGGCGTGAATGTTCAACAGAAAGTCACGTCTTCTTTTATACACCATAGTAAACCACGTCCTTTCAATGAAAATAAAATGTAAAGTAAAGCAAAACAGCTACGTTTATGAATAAATAAATTGATGAATTTATCTGTCATTCAATTGAAAAAAAAAATGAATAAAAAATAACCACAGTGTTTGAGTTGATTTATTAAGCGATGAGCTCCGATATCGCATATACTTAATAGAAAGTTCTCATGGTTATTACAGGACGTCATACTTCCCAACGCCTCCAGAGTTTTGAGGATAATTATGCTACAGAAGCCAACTCTCAATTCCACAATTAAACGCAGATAACAATGTACAAAATTCTAAAAGACAAAAATTATGAATAGCAGCAACTACAAGATCTGAACATGATCGGTCAAAAAAAAATTGTATTGAAATCTTTTTCGTTTACTGAATACGACTTGAACTCTTTTATCGCCATCGGCTGTCTGCACATGTATGATTACATGTAATTATTGAAGACTTTCTTGTTTGACTGTGAAGCAAAGGACTTCCTTCCTCTACTAAGTTCTTTTGTAAGAATTCCTCAAAAGAAACAGGAACGATATCAAGCGAAACCCGACTGTTATCGCCACAAGGGCATAGATATCAATAAGGAGATTTTCCTGTAAAAAAGAAAGTAAACAAAGAAAAAAAGAATCTCTTTGTTAGTGATCTCTCGCAAATTTACCTCAAGCCCTAAACTTTTACTTTTTCTTGCGGCTTGTCAACTTGCGATTGCGTTCAGCACCTTCGCAGCGAAATATTACCGAGTAATTTAGTGTTAACAACTGGGTTGAAAACGTAAATTAGCCACCGTAAAGGGTAAAAAAGTAAAAAAGCTGACGTTTCGAGCGTTAGCCCTTCGTCGGAGCGATTGCTAATTTACGTTTTCAACCCAGTTGTTAACACTAAATTACCTGCTATACTCTCCCACCGACGCAGCACCACAGTTTCTTTAGAAACTTACCCCTTTATTGAAATATTACCGAGACACTGTCCATTGTAGTATAACATCAAGGGGAATTGTGATTTTTTTTAGGTAAATAGGCCACATTTGGTAACATCACTTGGGTTTCTGAAAGTTCCTAAGCAGTTATTTTGCTTGATTCGTCTTGTGACTTCATAATACCCACCTCCTTCAATCCACGCTGTTCAATAGCTATCGATCCATTGTAAACGCAACTTGTGTAGGTCTCATTGTTAGGAATTATTTTACAAGCTGGGAGGAACAAAACAGGTATAAAGACAAAAAGCAAAAAATGTTATCTCTTAATTTAGGACACACACACACACACACACACACACACACACAAAAGATCCTAAAAAACTCACCAAGGTGCTCTCGAGTTTCCGATGAATTAATTTGTAACATCTCAAATAATTTTCACTCAGATTATGTGTTGTGTTTCTTTTGGTTTCGGAGTAGGAACTTCCGCAGTAAGTAAGAGCTCACGTAATACTTCGATGGGAAAAAGAGTGCACCTTTCTTTTAGAGAAAAAGAATGTTCCAGAAACAATATTATTCCCCTCTCCGCCATTGAAATGCATGTGTGTAATTACGACGAGTCAGTTAAATGAAACGCAGAAGCTGTTTTGTAAAATGCGAGTTTTGCTCTCCGTCTTGAGAATTGAATTCAAAATGGCGAAGTGCGTAGTCGAACCCTTGGCACATTTGAAGACAATTTTGGAAGGTTGAGATACCCGTTTGGATCTCAAAACGCGGTAAATAGTGCATTTTCATATATACTTTTTAGGTTAAAAGATGAGGTGTGCCGATGACTTGAACTCATATTTAACGGCGCCTGACAACTCTGAGTTCTATTGAGGTAGAAACTCGACAAATTTACCGTAACAAATCCTGCTCTCTGATCATAAATGATTTGGTTATTTCACGTTCAAGAGAATGTCAAGGAAACGAATTTTGTTTAAAACGTAGGCGAAGAACTATTATTTTGCATATGAATTATTTTAACATCGCTACGTTCTCTTGTGCGTCGCCGTAATCAGGGTTTGCATCCAATTACGAAAAGTTACTGTTGCTGCCGATGATGAATTTGACCTTACTGGCTCTATCGCTTCGTCAGCTATTTCAGTTTCAAATTCAACTTACGGATAGGACCATAATTGTCCCACTGATTAACAACCAGAGCTTCGAATCCATAATTAAACCAGGACAGATATCTCAGCCAAGACAGCCACTCTGGAATTGTTCTGAAACATAAAACAAATGCAAAGATACATAAATAAATAAATATATAAATAAACAAACTAATAAAGGGTTGAATAAATGAACTAACTGACTAATAAACGAAAAATGAACAAATAATTAAAAACATGGTTAAAAATTTAAAATCAAAGTTTCTAAGTTATTAAAAGAAACCCAATGCACTGCTATACGCGATAGTGTTTATTCTATTCAAACGCACAAACACGCTGTACTTCTAGTGTAAGTTTGATTAATAGTTAATAACAAAGACTGAGTGGAGTCCAATTCTATCTGTAATCATGACTGATTATCAAAATCAGACAAACGCGAAGTAGGAGTCCGATTTGTTTATCACGAGTAAGTTTACAGGGAGAATCGGACAACACAAAGTCCGGTTACCAATTTATCAAAACTATAACAACACCTGAGAAAGAAACTAGACATTGGTTATAAGTTTCATAATAAGAAAAAAACAATTGTTAACTTAGCGAAATGTGCAACAACGGCGCACGCACATGACGCGTTCTGTTCGCTAAGACAGGCATGACGTGTCAACCTATTACACTGTCCAATTACAAGCATGACGCTTACAGTGTCCTATGAGTGCTTACGTAGGGCTGGTGATAAACAATTACGTTCGAGAATTTGTAATAGTTTTGATTAATTTTAAAACTAGTAGGTCGCTCATTTTTTATGTTAAAGGTCTCTGTGCCAACCTCCCAAAGGAAACCAAAAAACGCTTTTTCAACCCTCATCAGAACCACAATAGCAAATGAGTTTAGAGATTATAAGAGATCATGATCTCTTGTCTAAGCAAACAACGATCATGCATTTACTGACCGGTTTTCAATGTAGAAGCCACCAAGTACTAATAGAGGAAGGGTCAACGGACCACTTAGCGCCGTGGAAACTGACGTCGTTGGTGAAATTGTAGATATGATGTACGCTGAAATAAAACAGAGAATTACAGAAAAATGGATTTGCTTTGTGTTGAATATCACTCAAAAACCCTTTTCTTATATACGTAAAGAGTTTTTTGAGTATAATTCAACGCAAAGTACACGTGGTGATGATTTTGAAAATATCTGTTGGTTGTTGAACTCGATCGAGCGAAGTCTTGGTCAGACTGTACTCATTAAAGGCCATGCTATAAACACTATCCTACTTTAAACTAGTGATTCCGTGTTCAAAAAGGTGACGTTGATATCATTGCCCCTAACGGACACCATGTGGGTTTTTTAAATAAATAATAGTAATAATAATAACAATAACAATAACAATAATAATGATAACAATAATGATAATAACGTTACGAATCTAGAAAAGTTGTTCATTGTATTTGATACAACTGATATGAAATCGTCTGTGAACAAACCAAAAGAGACAGCAGCCATACTGACTAAGGCAAGTATTCCATAAGCGGCCAGAAAACGGAGCACATCTGGTCTCAAACCTTAAAAATACATATCATGTGAAGAGGACGAAAAATTAGCAATACATCAAAATTCAAAGACCTAGTTTTTCTTTTTGTGTTGAGTAAGCTGAGATAAACCTCTGTTGATGCTAGCAGTTAAGACATAACCTTAACTAAAAAGACACAATCTATGAGTAAAAAAAGTAAATAAATAAATCGGAAAAACATTCGCGAGGCTCACCAACCATCCAGTAGCCCACAGTAATCATGACCAGCGGACCAAGAAAGAACTGTGGAGACTATAAATACGGGAAAAGTCTTATCAAAACGCATGACGTTACCATTACCAATTTTTTGTTTCTCCCCATACAAAATAAGTAGATTCCTTGTTGCCATGGGTTTGTACATGCAGTAATAAATCACAGAAGACGTCAAAATATGGTGAGAACATCAGTGACGCATTTGGCTGTGCCTCCTGTGCCACGTTTTTTCTTAGCACTTTTTGACGTCATCTGTGATCGGTTACTGAACAGAAGCATGGCAAAATGGAATCGTTTTTGTTAAAAAAGAAATCTCGAGCTCATAATCAAATAGCCAAATCCTTTAAACGGAAGTTCATCCAAGAACCCAAAAAAAAAAAAAACGCTTTAATTACGCTGAGGATTTACAACTTAAAAACATTTAGCTCTTTGTTAGTTGTTTTGAGTAAATTCACCCAAGGAATAAGTGGAGTATTTGTAGTAACCGTTGAACAATTGTAAGTTCAAAAGACTTACTTCGGCTAAGGTCTTGGATAGGAAGTAAATGTCCGTACGGTACATCCTGTTGTTGTGTTCTCGTAAAAATATATTCCTTTCTATTGGAAAAGTCTACAAATAGATAAATAAATAAGGGTTAATAAATAAAAGAATGAATCAGTGGAATAAATGAAACAACGAATAAATAAGTGAATGAAGGAACGAAGGAACGAACGAATGAACGAACGAAAGAAGGAACGAATGTACGAACGAAGGAACGAACGAAGGAACCAACGAACGAACGAACGAACGAACGAACGAACGAACGAACGAACGAACGAACGAACGAACGAACGAACGAACGAACGAATGAACGAACGAATAAACTAACGAAGGAACGAACGAATGAACAAACGAAGGAACAAACGAAGGAACGAATGAATGAACGAACAAAGGAACGAACGAATGAACGAACGAAGGAACGAACGAATGAACAAACGAAGGAACGAACGAATGAATGAAGTAGTGTTACAGTAACGAATGAGTGAATAGGTTCTTAATTTAATTGATAGAACTATCAATCAAAAAACGAAGTGCCGGATCGATCTAACAAGTAGCTGATTGATGGGTTGATTAATAAATCTATCGATCACTTGATAAGCTGAACAGAAGCAACTACCAACGATAATGAATAACTATTTAAAGGTATCTAACTTTTATCAAACCAACCTGAGAAAATGATAGTCAAAACTTACGAAAGTGACTGCCGAAATGTTTGAGA